CCCCCCCCCCCAGCTAATATGATGACATGTCTATTGTCTATCTCAAAGAACACCTAAAACTCCATATATAGGTAACAAGGGGTAATTAACTCATAAAAATATAATTTTATTATAAAATTATTAAGTGTAATTTCATGCTGTATTATAAAGTAAAAAAGGAAAACTATTGTGAAACAAATATGTAAAGGACGGAATGATGCTTCAGTTTTTAATTTATTGTACAGTTGCTTCAGTTTCACTCATCATTAAGAAAAGACTTTTTTGGGGGTATTTATTCAGCATTTTGCATTTGATTTTGTATTTTCAGACTTTTTTCTCTGTTTAGGCAGTAAACCCATGGCTATATTTGAGCTGTTAGAGTATATAGTAAACCAGCCACCTCCTAGGCTACCCTCTAGAGTCTTCTCATGTGAAATGAGGGATTTTGTAGATATCTGCTTAAAGAAGGTATGCTAGATTGATTAACTGGTTAATGGATTGATTAACTGGTTGATGGATTAATTAACTGGTTGATGGATTGATCAAATAATGACTTGATTGATGGATTTATAACTTTGTTGATAGTTTAATAACTTGATTGATGAATTGATAACTTGATTGATGAATTGATTACTTGATTGATGGATTTACAACTTGATTGATGGATTTACAACTTGATTGATGGATGTGTCTGAAAATTGAAATCCTATAAGTTTGGTTCCTGGAAGTGAACCCTTGTTAGCGTGGTTCCCGGAAATAAGTTGCTTAATATCCAAATCCGGATCCGTTGGATGTCCATCATTTTGGCTTTCTGGAACTGGATTCAAGGAACAAAATATTAACAAAAACTGTTGAAACTTGTGCTCTCAAGCCGCGTTACACAAATATAATTTTTAAATAATGACAGTTTATAAAAATCTTGCATCAAGTGTCGTCACAAAATTAAGCAAAAAAAGAAAACTTAATGTGTAATGATTTTCATCCTTAAAAAACAGTAACTCTTAAATTCATGTAAATGACCTGGACCTGGATCCGGATTCATTTGTAGGGCGGATCCACCGTCAAAATTAAATAGATTCTAAGCTTTGCTTTGAAGTGAACCCGTGTATTAGTGCGTTTCCTGTTAGTGAACCCGTATTTGTGTGATTGCTGGACGTTAACTCATACCTGTGGGATTCATGGACGTGACCCCGTATTACTGTATTTTGATTTTAAAGATGAAAATATTTTTGGGAGTGAAACACAATAAAAATGGATTGATGGATTGATAGATCGATGGATTTTGGATGGTTAGACTGATGGGCTGATGGATTGATGGAGGATTGATGGATTGATGGATTGATGGATAGGTGAATTGATGGATAGGTGAATTGATGGATTGATGTAGGATCGATGGATTGATAAATTGATGGATTGATGGGTTGATGGATTGATGAGTGTTGATTGGTTGACGGATTAATTTACTAGAACCCCGGTGAGAGACCAGACCTGGCAACTTTGATGTCCCATCCCTGGTTAAGAGGACTAGAACAGGTTAGAAAATAAGCATCAACGTTTCGGTAAAATTTCGATCTGGTCTCCTTATAACTGCTGAATGTTTTTTTTGGGACCTTAGCTTTTGTCTACTTTTCATAAAGGAAAAACATGGATATCTAATTCATACTTTAGACAATAGACATAGCGATTTAGAGAATGTGGGGCTTCTTCAAATTAAATGAACAGTCCCTTTAACATCTTGTCTCTCCTAGTCTGATATTCTTAATTATTTAGGATATCATCTTCTCTCCTAGTCTGATATTCTTAATTATTTAGGATATCATCTTCTCTCCTAGTCTGATATTCTTAATTATTTAGGATATCATCTTCTCTCCTAGTCTGATATTCTTAATTATTTTGGATATCATCTGCTTCTCCTAGTCTGATATTCTTTATTATTTAGGATATCATCTGTCTCTCCTAGTCTGATATTCTTAATTATTTTGGATATCATCTGTTTCTCCTAGTCTGATATTCTTAGCTATTTAGTATATCTTCTTTCTTAGTCTGATTGTTTATTATTCAGGATATCATCTCTACTAGTCTGATTGTTTGTTTTATTTAGGAAATTAGGATGTCTTTCTTAGACTGATTTTTTTGTTTTAACTAGGAACTTGTTTCTCATAGTCTGATTATTTTAAATCTAGAATCTTGTCTCGTCTCTCCTAAACTTATTTTTTTATAACTGGAAACTTGTCTTGTCTCTCTTAGTCTGATATTTTTATATTTAGGATGATACGGATGTGGCGGGCTGGGTTCAAGAAATTATCAGACTACCCCTTCCTGAACCTCTTCAAATATAATTCTTATACAGTATTCAATGAATATTGTTCATTCCTCATTCCTTAGTACACAGTAACCTTGTTCATCCCCTATTCCTTAGTACATAAGCTTACCAAGCGTCCTCATTCATCCCTTATTCATTAGTACGTTAGCTTATCCAGCAAAATTTTTATTCTTATCCAGTAACTTTATTCATCCTTCATTCCTTAGTACATCAGCATATCCAGTAAATTTATTCATCCTTCATTCCTTAGTACATCAGCTTATCCAGTAATTTTATTCATCCCTCATTCCTTAGTACATTAGCATATCCAGTAATCTTATTCTCCCCTTATTCCTTATCCCTAATGCTCATGACAGTAGGTTTTTCATAAGCTATGAATTCGCAATGTCATTCCGCAGAAACTTTTGCTTTTTGACTATATTTTCATCAAGGTTGTTAAATAAGGTTGCTAATGCTTACTCTAAATGCACTCCCATGTATATTTAACTGTCCATTGCTAAGGAGACGACATTTCCCGTACATAGGAGCGCATCTAGAGTCAGCAACTTTAATAAACCTTGATTTTTAGGCAGTAACTTATGATACGTAATTTAAACAATTAATTTAAATATATAAATTGTGTACTGTGTTTGAAGTCAATATTCCACATTTCACAATCATGTTATAAATGTATTTTAAGAATTGCATTTTTAGTTCATAGAATCAGTAGCCAAATAATTACTTTTCTTAATCTAGATTGGTATGTTTGTTATTTTTATCATTCATATACTGAGATTAGAAATGTATTGTGTTACGGTTTACCCTGTGTTAAGCTTTTATTAGCCGATTTTTCATAATTTAAAATCTTTTTATGTCAATTTTTATTTTTCTCCTTGTATTGTTCATGCACCGTCTTATTATGTTCTTGTACTGTTGATAAACTGTTCAGTGTTCCTTTACTAATCTTGTACTATTCTTGTACTATGCATGAATGCTTCATGTACTGCTGAGTAGCCGTACAAGTCCTTATTATCAGTGATTTTATAAAAAATATCCTATTTATTTAAAATATTATGTACTACTGTAAGTTTAAAAATTTTAATATTTTAAAGGGTTTATGCATTTTTCAAATGAAGGAAAGATAAAAGGAAGGAGAACAGTTAAAAATTTGTATCCGATAATGTACATTTGATGGAAAGGACTGTAAATTCCGAAAATGTACATTTGATGGAAAGGACTGTAAAGTCCGATAATGTACATTTGATGGAAGGGGGGGGGGGAGATTTATTTTTTCTAATAGTGTCGCATAGTCAAAAAAAATGTACCTTAGATTATTTAATAATTTCAAGTTATTGTTGATTTTGTAAATAATAACACACATTTAAATATAAAGTACAATAACTTAAAGATTATAGTTAAAAGGAAGGGGTTTAATAACTTAGAATAAATTTTTATTTACATAAGTATGTTCTAGCAAAGGATGTATTGTTAAGTAAGGGAGAGAAAGCTACTTGCTTTCTTTTAAGAATAGCCGGGGCGGATGTACGCTAATTTATTTTATTCTTTAAATATATAAATAGATATATATCTATTCTGTTTAGTCCGATAATGTACATTTGATGAAAGGGACTGTAAAGTCCGATAATGTCGTTTTACTATTCTGGGCAACAATGTTGAAGTTATTATTGTTTTTCTAGTTAAAAATTGATTATATTTTATTGCGGTTCTATATAAAAGTGAGTTACGGATTATATTCCTCGTTGTCAATTTGATAAAGGGTACAAGGTGCCGTTGTGAATTGGGCTTTAAAGTCTTTAAATGGAGGTTCACTGAAAATACGCCGACAGTCTATTTAAAGCACTGTACGCTATATTTTGATCCTTCTTTTTTCTTTAACTCTTTTAACGGAGAAGATTGATTGTTAATTTACGTTATTGTCTCTCGTTTCTTCTATGGCATTGTTCTTTGTAGGTATTGTTATCTTCTGTAACAGTATTTTCCTGATTCTTAAGGTTTAATTTTAGATCAACCAGTATTTAAATTTAATCAATTTCGAAATATATATGTTTTTAATCCAAATCTTAAATTTGTTTATATCTTCTAATTGTACATGTGTTATTTCTTATTTTGGTAAGTACGCATGTTTACATCCGTTTGCAGTACATGTATTTCAATAGGGTAAGGCAATTCTATAGATCTAGACATTTTTTACCAGAAAATTATTTTTATTTCTTTTCTTAATTCTCTATTTGTCCACTTGAAATTTGTATAATAAACCCAAAGCTACGGAAGTAAGATATTTTATAGTTTCGTTCCCCACACCCCCCATACCCTTTTTAGCATCCGCCTATACCCCCCATACCCTTTTTAGCATCCGCCTATACCCCCATACCCTTTTTAGCATCCGCCTATACCCCCTGGATATCATCTGCTTCTCCTAGTCTGATATTCTTTATTATTTAGGATATCATCTGTCTCTCCTAGTCTGATATTCTTAATTATTTTGGATATCATCTGTTTCTCCTAGTCTGATATTCTTAGCTATTTAGTATATCTTCTTTCTTAGTCTGATTGTTTATTATTCAGGATATCATCTCTACTAGTCTGATTGTTTGTTTTATTTAGGAAATTAGGATGTCTTTCTTAGACTGATTTTTTTGTTTTAACTAGGAACTTGTTTCTCATAGTCTGATTATTTTAAATCTAGAATCTTGTCTCGTCTCTCCTAAACTTATTTTTTTATAACTGGAAACTTGTCTTGTCTCTCTTAGTCTGATATTTTTATATTTAGGATGATACGGATGTGGCGGGCTGGGTTCAAGAAATTATCAGACTACCCCTTCCTGAACCTCTTCAAATATAATTCTTATACAGTATTCAATGAATATTGTTCATTCCTCATTCCTTAGTACACAGTAACCTTGTTCATCCCCTATTCCTTAGTACATAAGCTTACCAAGCGTCCTCATTCATCCCTTATTCATTAGTACGTTAGCTTATCCAGCAAAATTTTTATTCTTATCCAGTAACTTTATTCATCCTTCATTCCTTAGTACANATTTAAATTTAAATAGTAGGACCCAGTATATTTTTTTATTGATAAATTTTTATTTTGCTAAATCATATATTTCATTATAATATTGTCTTCTTTCCGTGTAAACGTTTATATTTTCATATAATTTTTTTTCAGGAATATGATTGGATAGTGAAAACACACTAGAATAAATATATAATCAAGATGCCCCCCAGAAAGCTTCCCCCTAAGCTAAATGTTAAAAGGTAAGTTATATTTTAACATTTAAATTTCAAATAAAAAGTTAAACGTTTAAATACAACAATGTGTCGTTTTATATTCACAACGGAACCAATGAAACCTGTGTCTGATTAAGTATGAAGTATTAATGATAATGAATTCAAAAACTGCTGATTTTCAATTGTGGTTTTACTAAGATCAGCTAAAGGTATCGTTGTGAATCGGGTATGAAAGTAAAGTGATACAATTATTTGCATAACTGTTAAATTAAATAATTTTGAACTTTTAATTTAAAAATAATTTGTTTCATTATTAATATTCAGTCATTTTTGAAAAGTTATATTTTTTTTAGCACGACCCCAGAGCCTCCTCCCAGTGTTCCAAGGGACCTTGAGACTCATACAAATATAACCATTGATAATCAAACCTTTGTTGTCGAAGCAGACGATCTAGAGGTGATCTGCGAGCTAGGTAATTTTTGGTTTGGAGTCCAACATAATTTAAAATTTTATTCTTACAAGTTAGCAATTAATAAGGCCTGAAAGGATAAAAAACCAAACTTTTCATTGAAGGACATTTAGCTTAAATACCCATATACTTTATCGATTGAAGATAATTTTTTTTGTTCAATTGAACAAATTCTTGTATATCAGGACTATCGTTAATTTGAACGTAAGTCCATGTAAACTTTATTCCAAAAAAATCGTTTGATCAATCGATCATTATTTCTATTGATTTGACACCTTTTGCACGGTGTAAAAAAAATCTTTTAGAACTTCAAATATCTTTATTTGTTTCTGAGGTCGAGGTGCTTACGGAGTAGTGGAGAAAATGCGACACAAGCAGACAGGAACTATACTCGCCGTGAAGGTAGGTGTCGACTGTCAAGAATTGGCGACTTACACTTAAAGACGACAGAGCTTAAAAGACGATAGGACATAGAGACATCAGACCCAAGGAAGTTGTTTTGTACTATATTTCTTATTTTTAAAAATAAAATTCTTTAGTGACATTTTTCAAAACAAATGAACCTTCCTGAAACTTCATTTTGGGTTAAGAATGGCACATTTACACAATAAATGATAACCGAACAGTGCTGCAGTCGGTGCTGCGGCTAGGACAATTACAGTTTTTTAGCTTGTCAGCAAAAAGTTAATGCATCTTATGAGAAAAGACACTTAATATCTAACGAGGGGAGGAAGGCAAAATGAACCTTGCCAATGAGTGGAGGAAGGCTATTGGCACCCGTCTGAGCTTTCTTCCCAATTATAATTTAATCATAAATGTTTTATTTTCCTAGAGAATAACTGCGACAGTGAATACAGTTGAGCAAAGACGACTTGTAATGGATCTTGATATTAGTATGCGTTCTTCAGGTTAGTTCTTGTTCCTTGTGTTTATCCAATTATTTATTATTTAATTGACTGATCCAACCACAGGTTTTTTACCTTCTTGGCTCCGTGAATCTTGTAAATATGTGAATCTCAGTATTAAGTGGCAGGAAAGAATATGGTCATCCATTTTTCTGAAAAGCTTTGACCTTATGTACCAAATATTCATTCAGACTTAAATTATATTGGAACTTGGTATTTTATGTAGATGGTCTGCTAGATGGAATTTTTATTTGGTTGGTCGATTGATTGATTGATTGATTGACTAATTAATTTATTGATTGATTAATTGGTTGATTTAGTAATTGATTGATTTAGTAATTGATTGATGGAGAAATTGGTTAATTGAGTAATTAATTGATTAATTGAGTAATTGGTTGATGGAGTAATTAATTGATTGATTTAGTAATTGATTAATGGAGTAATTGGTTGATGGAGTAATTAATTGATTGATTTAGTAATTGATTGATGTAGTAATTGTTTAATTGAGTAATTGATTGTACTTTAGACTGTGATTACACCGTACACTTCTACGGGGCAATGTTCCGTGAAGGTGATGTATGGATTTGTATGGAGGTTATGGACACCAGTGTAGACAAGTTCTATGCCCTGGCCTTCAAGAACAATCGTGTCATGCCCGAGACCATGTTGGTCCAGATAGCGTTCAGTGTTGTTAGTGCCTTGCACTACCTTCATACCAAGCTGAAAGTGATACACAGGGATGTGAAGCCCTCTAATATTCTAGTATCAGTGTCGGGTAAAGTGAAAATGTGTGACTTTGGTATATCCGGATACCTGGTAGATTCTGTCGCTAAGGAAACAATCAAATTATGGAATAAAGTTCTTATACATTTAAATTTAAATAGGGTATATATTTTGTGGACAAATTATCTTCACTCCCCAACCCCCTTTCTTGTTAAAACACCCCCCCCCCCCCACCACCTTCCTCCAAATATAACGAAGAATTTAGGGTTTTTGGGGGAAATAAAATGATTTTTTTGAGGAGTGAAAGATTTGTTAGTAGCATGTATCATAAACGGGTCAAAAATTGAAAATTTATGCCCATCCCTCCCCCCAAAAAATGTAAAAATACATTTACCTGAATTGAATTTTCTGTTACCCTCTTCTAGGTTGAATCAGGTATTGACGCTGGATAAGTCTTTTTTGATTCAAACCTACATTTTAATCACAATTTGGTTGTATCAGACTGTTGACGCTGGCTGTAAACCATACATGGCACCTGAAAGAATTGATCCCAGTGGAAACCCTTCTAATTACGATGTCAGGTAATTAACTCTGAGATTGGTATCTGTCCAAATGTCGGATGTCCGCTGCAATGAAGCATGCTCCGAAATCTTATGGAATATACTCAAAAGAAAAAGCAACTTAACTTTACACCATCAAAATATCTTCTAAAAGAATCATGGCAAATTAGAAAACCTTGTTTTGATTAATTAAATAACTTTTTGTTTTAAGATAGTTATAACAAACGATCCATAATTGTTTTAACTTTGAGCTGAAAAATTATTTTAAAAATTAAGATGGTTTCTCCAAGAGGATCTCAAATAATTTTTGTTCATGTTTTTCCATCAAAAATACGAGTTCATCATGGTTACTTGGACGACTTGGACGATGCTTGATATGACACTGTTGTGAATATGTCCTCTCTTTAAAGTTGATTGTTTTTAGATCGGATGTTTGGAGTTTTGGAATCTCCATGATTGAGATTGCTACGGGTCGATTTCCTTACCAGCTCTGGAAAACACCCTTCGAACAGTTAAGACAGGTAAAATATATGTTTTAATATTTAGGCGTATAATCAATTTGTGATGCATCCGAAAAAATTTCCAAAATGGCAGTGCTTAGGATCCATTGGATCCGCAAGATTTTGGCCTCCTGGATCCGGATCCACAAAAATATGCGGATCCACGGATCCGGATCAAAGGGGTAAATATCAATCAAAAACGGCAAAAAAAACTTTTTAACATTCAAAACCCAAATATGAACTTTTGAAAACAGAGAGATTATAAAAATTTCAATTCTGAATGGTTCATCAAGTTTTAGGATAAAAATAAGCGAAAAAAGAAAACAAAAAATTTGAATATTATTTTTTGTTAAAAAAAAATCAGTAAATCTTAAAGAACTGACCTGGATCCGAATCCGGATCCGGGTCCATTTTTCTCCAGTGCGGATCCAGGATCCGGATCCGCATCGAAATTAAATGGATCCTAAGCACTGCGAAATGGATTTATAAAAAATGCGGGAGAAATTGGGGTTTCACAATTTGAGATCCTGGTTTTCTCGTAAAATTTATATCTTAAGATTTGTTCTCTTCTAGTGGAGAAACGAAAAACGAACGAAATGGTAAAAAAGACAAAGAAGAAAAATAATAAATGTTTTTCTTTGGACTTTTAAATTATTTTTGTTTCCCAGGTTGTGATAGAACCTGCGCCGGAGTTGCCGAAAAACCAGTTTTCCCCACAGTTTGAGGATTTTATCTCTAAATGTTTGGTGAAGGAAGTGACGTCACGAGCCTCGTACACGGAGCTGCTGGCGCACCCCTTCCTCGCCACTATCCCCGACCAGGCCGACATGGCGGAGTTTGTGTCAGAGATTCTCCAACTACCCTCATAGGCAACACTTTATTCTAGCAAAACAAGCAATTGTCATTTGATTTTTGTTACCATTTTCAACACAATTTTCAGATCAAATTTGAGATATTTAGATGTTCATTTTCTAAATTATTAATTCCAGATATTTTAAAATTCATTAAAAAATAACGAACTTTATCATTTACTGTGATGACAAAGTCTTGCTAATCTAAATAAGAGGGGATAAATGGGCGTGTACGCGTAGGAAGGCATAAAATAATTTACATTTTTTCTTTAACATTTGCTTAAAGATTGTGAAACAAGTACACCCCTGTTATAAAATAGAAAATAAATAAAATAAAGAGGCAAGCTGGAACTTTAGAATGCTCAAGAACTTGTAGGAATGGAACGCACTTAAGCTATATTGGACAAATGTCTGGTTTGAACATGTTCCTAACGTTCCTGTTCCTTGTTCTTTAATCCATAATTAGAACAGCTGAGTCAATTAAAGGGATTGTCCACGTAATTATGAGTGGTCCAAGCGGCAGGAAGTTATTGTTTTATCTTCATTGTATTTTCTTGATGCCATTGCTATTTCAACTTGTATCAACCTGTATCCAGTTTTATCCAGTTTTATATCCGCTTCAGATAAGAAAATATTTATTTTATAGCCAACATGATTTGATTTATGACAGCTAATTGTAAAATTTAAAATTTTAAACTTTTAGATTCAAATTTTAATTATTAACGTTATTAATATTTTGTTACAACTTAATTATTTCAAAACGGGCATTTAGCTTCTTTAACTTTATCTTAATACTTCATAGTTTTCACAGTTCCAAAATTATTTTTTCTACTTTCCACGAATTTCAAAATTTGTTTAGCCAATTTTTTCGGTTTCTTTTACCTTCATATTAAACTTAAATGCAGTCAACTTTTTTTGTTAAATATTAACATTTCTATAATCATGATGACCAGGTTTACTGAAGAACCATTTAAGCTTCGACTTTCTTAATATTCTAAATAAATAATCACGCTTTACTTTATTTTTGACAGAAGTGCATCTTCTTCTATTTCTTTGATGTGAACTAATTCCTTGTTCAAATTATACGCTTATTTACCCAGAGAGCCAAGAATTTATGTGACCAAGTTCAGAGCCCGCGATTTAAAAAATTTGGGAAAATATGGCTCGGGTCTAAGCTGTCGTTGGACCTCATTCACGGCTTGAGCTTTCGGATGCAAGCTGCATCTTATTTTCAGCAGAGTTCAAAAAACCGGTTTAATTTCCTATTTGGCGGATTTTCGGAGCCCATACAAAACATATCGTCACTAAAATTATCGCCACAAAACTTATCACCACAAAACTTATCAAAACAAAACTTATCTAACAACAAAACTTATCAAAACAAAACTTATAATCACAAAACTTATCAAACTACAAAACTCATCAAACTACAAAACTTATCCAACTACAAAACTTATCAAACTACAAAACTTATCAACCAACAAAACTTATCAAACTACAAAACTTATCAAACTACAAAACTTATCAAAACAAAACTTATAATCACAAAACTTATCAAACTACAAAACTTATCAAACTACAAAACTTATCAAACTACAAAACTTATCCAACTACAAAACTTATCAACCAACAAAACTTATCAACTATAAAACTTATCAAACTACAAACTTATTAAAATAACTACAAATAAAAAAAAAAAACATTTTTAAACGTTCTTTTCTGTGACCTTCGCTTGTATCTAGATTTACTCTTATCTTGGTGTCCTGGAACACCTACTCCCAAGCTATCCTCCTTCATAACCATATCTGCCCAGAAAGGGGCTGGGAAACTAAGAGTTTACCGAATTTACTCGCGGATTTTTAAAAAATTGTATGGAAAATTTCCATGATTTGAAAATTTACATTCATGAATTTTATTGATAAGTTTTGTAGTTTGATACGTTTTGTAGTTTGATAAGTTTTGTAGTTTGATACGTTTTGTAGTTTGATAAGTTTTGTAGTTGATAAGTTTTGTTTTGATAAGTTTTGTAGTTTGATAAGTTTTGTAATTTGATAAGTTTTGTGATGATAAGTTTTTTCGCTGATAAGTTTTGAAAAGATATGTTTTGTGGTGATAAGTTTAGTGGTGATAAGTTTTGTGGTGATATGTTTTGTATGGGCTCCGGAATTTCATGGTAGGAATTGGCGCATTTCGGGTTTTTATGAGAACAAGACTCAACATTGAGCCTCATTCTCTAATAAAACCAACCAAAGTCTGTTTTATTTTCATTGGGTCTAACTCCTGAAGTCGAGCCGAAGATCTTGCAGCTGTCAATCACGTGACACATCAAGCTGTCGTCAGAGTTGGGTAGAAGATTGGGTCATACAGTCGGGTTTAAGGAATTACGGCTCGAGCGGAAGTTTTTAAATCGCGGACTCAGAGTTCTCAGGGATTCAGGATTTAAGTTGTACAACCACTACAGCATAAGCTTGGTCTTTTTGTAAAATTGATTACAATTTAAATATTATTATCTTTACTATAAAATGCCATCTTTACGTAAACCAATCAATCAATCAGATTTTTTCTCTGGATCCTGTTACAATTATTCTGTATTTCAGATGAGCTTCTAGCTACAAAATGGCAGACAGGAATTCAGACAGTAAATCTAGGTAAAATGTTGATCGAGCCATCTATACTATTATAAATAAGAAAAAAGCTAAATTTGTTAATCTTTTTAAAAACTTTTTTTATTATTTCCGTTCGGGACCTGAATTAAAAATCAACTTTAACTCCTCATTTTGCGTATTTATTAAATTAAAATAATTATGAAAAAGGTTCAAGCAGGGCTAAATTTGATTTTTCTTTTAGTTTGCCTAAGGCGTATGATGTAGAGGCCCGGGAGCGAGAGGAGAGAAAGAGGAAGAGAAGGGATGGGGAGGAGGGAAGAGAAGATTTTGATTCCTTCCCCGTGATGATGTCCTTCAAGGCGTTCCTGGAGACTCAAGATGATAGTATAACTGATGAAGAAGCGCTGGCCAAGGTAAAAAAATCGAGACTTTTATCTTTCCCCCCAGTGTATTTTTATTTTTAGAATGACTTACTTATACTTACTTGAATACTTGATGTTTAATCCCCAGGGCTCCAGTTAGGAACATAGGGGGAATCTCTGGTCTGGACCTCATGGAGTAGAGATCTTAACCTCACATTGTGCATCCGCATTGGTTTAGTCCTTGCTCTCTAGTCCTGGCACTAAGATTTTCTAGTTAAACAAATGATTATCGAGCAAATTTTTAAAGATATTGATTGATTTTGCTTCCTTAATGTCCGGCGGCAAGCTGTTCCATTGGTCTGCTACTCGATTTGAGTAAAAATTTTGCCTTAGATCCATTCTAGAGTGTTTTGGGATTATATTGTCCTTATACGCCGTCAGTCTAGTAGGTCTTGCAACTTCTGAACCAACCAGATTGAACCAAGTATCAGCCTCTACTTTGTCATAACCTCTGATTATTTTAAATGTCTGAATAAGGTCAAATCTTTTTCTTCTCTGGTCCAGCGTATGGAGTCCAAGTTCATTTAGTTTCTCCAAGTAGGTTTTACCTTTAAGCCCTGTTATAAGATTCACTGCTTTAATCTGTACTTTTTCCAATACTTCCTTATCACTGACTGTCCATGGGGACCAAGCTGTGACAGAAAATTCTAAATGACATCTTAAGAATTGGGTATAAAGTTTGAGGAACTTGATCCGATCTCTGTAAAGAAATGCTTTAGAAATTTGAGTTAGAACCCCCGTAGCTCTCGTAGCTGCCTCTGAACACTGTAATGAAGGCTTTAATGATTTGTCTGTGATTACTCCAATGTCTCTCCTTGTCCTGAGACTCCAGCCTTACTCCGTTCATTGTATACTCAAAATTCTTGTCTGCTCTACCAACATGTAGAACTTTACATTTTTGGATGTTGAAATCCATGCACCATTCCATAGACCATTCAAATAGCTTATCCAAACAATCCTGTAACACTTTTCTGTCCTTTTCAGTTCTAACCCTGTGTCCTAGTTTAGTGTCATCAGCAAATTTTCTTAGAATACTGATCAACTCAGCTGTGGCATCTATGTCATTAATATATAATATAAAGGCTAGGGGGCCGAGCACTGATCCCTGAGGTACACCAGACAAAACCATGCACCATTCTGATAGGATCCATTCAAAACCGTTCTTTGTTTTCTATCTGTCAGCCATTCCGAAATCCAGTTTAAAACCCTGGACTGTCGTGGTAATTTCAAGTGAACCTCGTTCTTTCAAAATTTTTCAAAATTTAATGAAAATCGAATTTTTGTTAGAGGCAAATTTTTGAAATTTTGATCATTCATTAACCCTTGTGGCCACGTGAGGTCCCACAAAAAATTGGGTCCGATCGGTTCAGCCGTTTTGACGTTTATTTGATACAAACAAACAGACAGACAAGCAAATGTATAAAATACTAGCTGAAGGGCCCGGCATTGCCCGTGGAAATAATTTTTTAATTTTAAAAAAAATTATAATTTAAAAAAATATTAAAAAACTTCGAATTTTTTTAGTCGGAGAAGCCCCCCCCGTGAGTGTCCAAAACAAATTTCAGCCTATTTGGTCCAGCCATTTGGCCGGATATAGGCAACATATATATATGAATGTCTTGTTTTATTATATAGATATTTCTTTTGTTCAGTATGGTGAATACAAGCTTGAATTCCGACGCCAGAAAATCAATGAATTCTTCGTCTCGCACAAGACCCAAGAATGGTTCCGACTAAAATACCAGCCTCAAGAGCTCCAGAAGGCTACAAAGAAAGCACAGAAGGCGATCAGGAGGCGCTGTGAGATCTTCCAGGAGTTGTCTGACAAGGGGTTTCTGGAGGGGGTCTCCTGCGACGATGGAAAGGAGATGGAGATTATCAAACTCTTAGACTCAGTTGTTATTCTGCTAGAGGTAGGGTATATAATATTAAGAATTCATCCCCCCCCCCCTCAATTAAACCCTAAATTAATTTACACCCAGATTAGCAATAAATAATTATAAGTTAACGTTTCAAAGAAAAATATTTATGTTGGAATTTAGTTTAGTTTTCCATAAGGAAATGAATTTTATGAAAACTAATGTTTTCATCATCTTCAAGTTGCACGGTAATGAAATTAAAACCCAATTCTTTATTTTTGTTTTACTCAGGGAGGTAATTACGAGGATATTAAGAACCTGGACTTGGAACAGAATAACAATGATGCCGTGAAGCACAAGTCTTCTAGTATTTTCATCAAGAACCTTCATCCTTCCATCACACGAGACGACCTGCACGGGATTGTGTCAAAGTATCCAGGATTTCTTCGTCTCGCCATTAGCGAGGCCGACGCAAAGATTGGTTTCTCCCGTCGTTGTTGGGTTAGTTTTCAGAGGAATGCGAAAATCCGTGAAATATGTTTCGCACTGAACAACGTACAGTTAAAGGGATTGGAATTGCAGGCGGTGGTCAACAAGGACCTGTCCAGGAGAACCAGGACAACAGAGGACAAGGTTAACCTTCAGAAAGTTCTGGAAACCGATTTCAACACTGCCCTGGCCATTATCAAATTTCAGGTAGGTTCCCGCATTTTTAATAGTTTCAAATCTCTCGGATTTTTAAAAATATTCAAATACAATTCTTTGTTCCAGGATGAAAAGCATGGTGTATGGGTCGAGGAGGCACCTGAACCTGTTAAACCTGCCGAGGGAGATGCTACTCCTGAAGTTAAGGTTGAGAAGGTCGCTCCAGCAGTTCGTGCTAACCCGTTGATGTCCGAGGTTGAGAAGTCAAAGGATAATATTGCTGACCTTAAATCTGCTCTGGACAAGCTGGTTCTATATCTCAGGGTTGTGCATAGCATAGACTTCTATGGTCAGGTAACAAAACTAGGTTTTCTTTATTTTCAGAGCAGTCTCTAATTAAAGATTTTTCGCGAAAGATTAAATCCCTAATAATATGACCAACAACATTTAAGACAATTTTGAATGTTTAGAAAGATTATTCTGGAGAGGATGAAATGCCAAACAGATGTGGATTGATTCATGTCAGGTAAAGGATTAATATAAAAACTTACTCTCCCACTCTCTTGAAAAATTACCCCCCTCCCCTCCCCCTCTCTTGAAAATTTACCCCCCTCCCCATCTCTTCTGAAAATTCACCCCCGCTCTATCATACAACCGGCCTCCCTCTCGAAAAGACACTCCCCTTTTGAAAAAATTCCCCCTCTTGAAATTTTTTCATGTAAGAAATCTTTGTATTTCTTAATTGTAAAAATAAATAACTTTTTGGGGGAAAGAATTTTTATGAAAAATGTATCAAAAAGAGGGGGATTCTTAATTTTAACTTTCCCCCAAATATTCTAATATCAGTAACAAAAATGTTTATCCCTGTAATCATCAGATATCTCTCGGATAGAGGTTGGGTTTTGCGACATACTTCAAAATCAATGACACTCTAAAATAATAATTAATAATTTTTTCTCATGAAGTTTAGTCAATTCAGATAGATTGCATCTAGATAGATTGCATCTAGAAAGATTGCATCTAGAAAGATTGGATCTAGAAAGATTGCATCTAGAAAGATTGCATCTAGAAAGATTGGATCGTAAATGAAACAGTTACCGTCTTAAATCATCTTTAAATCTTAGAACAGTCTTTTTAAGATCATAAAAACTTGAAGTTATTAATCCGTGAGCTTTACTTTAAGTTATCAAGAGCTCTTCGTATTAAATAAATGTTTGCAGGCCAAGTACGTGTGCTGATTACGATGAAGCCGAAGTTTGTAAGTTCCTCAACTCCAGGGTTCCTCTCTACTCCACCTTTACTACCAATAAGATCCAGGTAGAGTAGTTATCCATATACAGTATACAGTATAAAATATACAGTATACAGTATACAATATACAATATACAATATACAATATACAATATACAATGTACAATGTACAATGTACAATGTACAATGTACAATGTACAATGTACAATGTACAATGTACCATGTACCATGTACTATGTACTATGTACTATGTACTATGTACTATGTACTATGTACTATGTACTATGTACTATGTACTATGTACAATGTACAATGTACAATGTACAATGTACAATGTACAATATACATAAGATTAAACTCCAGGGTTCCTCTCTGCTCCTTTACTACCAATACAATCAGTGTAGTAGATATCCAATTACAATATATAATATACAGAGCGTCCCATATCATATTAGATTATCAACAATCTTTAACGCCAAAATACGCACATAATACGCGAAAAAATCTAGCATTTTCTGCCAACAAAATTTTCTACTAGCCTTATTAAATTTTTTAAAATGATTCATTCTTCTTAAATTTTCTGAATTGTCCCCCAAATCGTAATTTAGACCCATTGACGCGGTCTAATTTGATGTGGGACACCCTGTACATAGATTAAACTCTAGGTTCCTCTCTACTCCTTTACTACCAATACAATCAGTGTATTAGATATCCAATTATAATATATAATATACATAGATTAAACTCTAGGTTCCTCTCTTTACTGCTCTTTCACTACCAATACAATTAAGGTAGAAGAAACTCCAGGGTTTCTCTCTTTTCTTCTCTCTGGCCCCTGAAGGTGTTAAATGTTAATTGTAATAAATATACACCCCTGTTTGAAAACAAGTCATTGTTAAATATTATTATCTATTTTTCATCCTTGTTTTAGATGGATGAAGCCGAGGCTAAGAAGCTGGGACTGAAGGATGAAGATTTTGAAATAGAGAAGTTTATATCCGCCAACAGTCAAGAGCTTGCTAAGGTTAGGATACTGGTATACTGGATACTGGATAGGGATGTAATATCCAATCATGACATCTAATTAACTACTCACTAGGTTAAATGGTTGTGTACTCTATGTACTCTTTCTAGCATAAATGATTGTGTACCCTGTGTACTCTATCTAGTTTTAATGTTGTGTGTACTCTAATGTCCTATATCTAGGATAAATGGTTGTGTACTCTATGTACTTTATCTAGGATAAATGTTTTGTGTACGCTATGTACTATATTAAGGTTAAATGGTTGTGTATTCTATGTACTATATCTAGGATAAATGGTTGTGTATTCTATGTACTTTATCTAGGATAAATGGTTGTGTACTCTATGTACTATATCTAGGATAAATGGTTGTGTACTCCATGTACTATATAAAGGGTAAATGGTTGTGTACTCTTTGTCCTATATCTAGGATAAATGTGTGTGTACTCTATGTCCTATGTCTAGGATAAGTGGTTGTGTTCTCTATGTACTATATCTAGGTTAAATGGTTGTGTACTCTATGCACTCCATCTAGGATAAATGGTTGTGTACTCTATGTACTATCTATGGTAAATGGTTGTGTACTCTATGTACTCTATCTAGGATAAATGGTTGTGTCTATATGTACTCTACCTAGGATAAATGGTTGTGTACTCTATGTACTCCATCTAGGATAAATGGTTGTGTACTCTATGTACTATATAAAGGGTAAATGGTTGTGTATTCTATGTACTCTATCTAGGATAAATGGTTGTGTACTCTATGTACTCTATCTAGGATAAATGGTTGTGTACTCTATGTACTCTATCTAGGATAAATGGTTGTGTACTCTATGTACTCTATCTAGGATAAATGGTTGTGTACTCTATGTACTCTATCTAGGATAAATGGTTGTGTACTCTATGTACTCTATCTAGGATAAATGGTTGTGTACTCTATGTACTCTATCTAGGATAAATGGTTGTGTACTCTATGTACTCTATCTAGGATAAATGGTTGTGTACTCTATCTACTCTATCTAGGATAAATGGTTGTGTACTCTATGTACTCTATCTAGGATAAATGGTTGTGTACTCTATGTACTCTATCTAGGATAAATGGTTGTGTACTCTATGTACTCTATCTAGGATAAATGGTTGTGTACTCTATCTACTCTATCTAGGATAAATGGTTGTGTACTCTATGTACTCTATCTAGGATAAATGGTTGTGTACTCTATGTACTCTATCTAGGATAAATGGTTGTGTACTCTATGTACTCTATCTAGGATAAATGGTTGTGTACTCTATCTACTCTATCTAGGATAAATGGTTGTGTACTCTATGTACTCTATCTAGGATAAATGGTTGTGTACTCTATGTACTCTATCTAGGATAAATGGTTGTGTACTCTATGTACTCTATCTAGGATAAATGGTTGTGTACTCTATCTACTCTATCTAGGATAAATGGTTGTGTACTCTATGTACTATATNACTTTAATTAAATAAAAACACTTGTTTAAGTACGCAGAGTTTAATTTACGATTATATTCAGTAAACTACACAAGCTAAATATTCCGTGTAGTTTCAACTACGAGATCTTCACAACAGTTAAATAATGATTAGCTGTCAATATTCAGTTTCTTTATTAGTTTTAATGAACCGCCATTTAAACTCTTTTTTAGATTTGCGATTAAAAATTGTCGCATTTTAAATGTTATTTTTGGATTCGTTAACGTGTTAAGAGTTTCAATGAATGTAGTTTTTCAAGTTTTCAAGTTTTCAAGTTGAATTTCTGGAACTTTCACAGTTCTACTCTCACTCCCAGGTTGTGAATATACTATTATTAATTAATAATTAATATTAATCAATATTTTTTATCCAAATTTTTTAATATGAATATTTTCTTAATCTAGTAAAAGTTTGAATGGTGTTGGATGGAAGGACAGTATGAAAAAAAAGAAAATTAAATTATTTTTGTTTTCAATTTTTTAAATAAATAAGTGTCAAAATTAATAAAACGTATTTGAAAATTCAGTTTGCCGCACAAACATTTTTCATCTAGATTAAAGGTTTTATCATTACGTCTAACCAAATTTATTGATTGTCTCAAAAAATGTTTTAAATTTAATGATTTTCTTTTTTTCCAAGATGTATTTATAATTTAAGATACATAAACTAAAGATGTACATATTACTCTGAGAAAAATGAGAAATTATTTTTTTAAATATCAGAAATGAAAAATAGATTTAACATCTATTTGTGACATTTTATTTTTGTAATCCAATATTTTTGTAAAATTTGTATAATATCTTGTGAGTGCAGTTTCCTGCAGAATTGTTAAAACATTTCTTGTTACAGAAAAATGACAATTTAAACTATTTAAAAAAGTTATAATAATGTTTGGAACTGGAAAACCTAAACTGGTCAGCTTCTCAAGATTAGATCAGGTATATCATTTAGTCTTATTAAATGATTTTGCATCTAGCAGCCGCTGTAAAATTCATTATTTCTAACGTCGGAACTTTTGCATGGAGTATCGTCAATCTATAACGCTTGATCTCGATATCCAATGTGGGCACTTAAAAATTTAAGGGAGAATGCTTGATCTCTTCAATTAAAGTTGTCTCTATTGGGAATTACCACCACCGGATATTCAAAAGGAATGATAAACCCAAGATTCTTACGACATTCTGAATTCTGAACAAAGTTTTTGAACCTTTAAAGCGAAATTTTTAAAGTTTTTTCGTGCAATACATGCATTAAAAGTCAACTTAAGAAAATGCGGGAAAAGGGTTTTGAAAATTCTCAATACTTTCTTCCCTTTAGAATGACGAACAGCAGAATGCTGCGAAGGATGAAGCCCTGCTTGACGCCAAGAAGGCGAAGGACGTTGATGAGAACAAGTACAAGAAGGAGGAGAACAAACTCAACACATGGCACGCTTTAGGTGGGAAAAAAATTTATAGCGCACAGTGATCCAGAGATTGCAAGGTTTCACGGAAATAATCTATGAGAATTTTAACAATTTCTTCCTAAAAACTAAAGCTAATTAAACAAGGGCTCAATAGTAAAAAATGTACATGTTTAGGGCTACACAAAGGTATAAGTGAGCTAGGTAGATAAAATCAAAAGCTAACGCGTTGCGACCAATCTTGAAAATTGTTGCAACTTTACATAGCAGTCTGGATCTATGTGAACTAAAGATCTAGTTAGCCGACTTATTGACAAGGATCTCTTTATAATTTTTTACGTAATTTTTATCCTTCACGACAACGACCTTCCATTCGAACACAAGTTTTAGTTAAATAATTTTCACGATTTTATTAACTTTCTTTTCAGTAATTGGATCCTGGTGCCTGTGTGTATTCTTTCTTGTTGTTTACATGGATCAACGACTCCCGGATCCTCTTACACTTAGGGATGCTGATTAACAAGAACATTTGGAAGTGAACCTGTCAGAACAGACTTTTAGATACAGTTTTTTTTGTGGTACGAAACAATACAGAAATATCGCAAAGAAACAAATAATATTTCCAATTGATGCATCTTTGACGCCATTTAGTTATTGTGAAGTCAATTTAATCATATTTTTATTATGTTTCATCCTACTGGCGTTTTATCATAAGTGATTAGGTTTAATCAAAGTTGATTCCTGATTTTCCTTCAACATCCCCCGCCCTAAAGTCCCATTTTCCAAAACCAAACTTCTCCTTCCACTCCCTTCATACCTGCTTTAATCTCTCCATCAATTTCCTTTTCCGACCCTCATCTCTCTTCCCAATTGCATGTTCCTCGTTTAAAATATGAACTCAGTAACTTACAAAATGTATTCAATGTGTATGCAGATTATAATATTTTAATCTAGACCTCTGAGGAATTAAACACTAGTACACAATTTTTTTTTCTATTTCTATATTTTTTCAACCTGATGGTGCGTGTAAACCATAGATATTAATGGGCTACGACATAAGTTTGCAAAGATATAAGAAATTGAAATAAGACTTATTTCCAATTATTCAGTTCCTATAATTATTAGGATATATGAATAAAATTCTAAATGTACAATGTGTACAAAAAAAAACATATCTAGCATTTTAGAGGAGATTTACCGCTCCTACCATTTCAAATAGTTTTACCGAAATCAATTTGATAACATGCAAAATTTGATAACATGCAAAATTAAAATAGAGTTTAATTCCGCATTGCGCAAACTCACTCACCGCAAAGTCAGCAATTTTTTTATGAAAGGGGATAGGACACATAAAATTTGATTTACTCTATGAGAAGAAACTTTGTGGTTATTTGGCATCTTTAAAGAGACACAACGACAAATCCAGACAGATTTATCGAAGAACGAGCGCGTAAAACCTTGCGTGCACTGACCAGCGTTGGTGCGCGTCCTGCAGGAAGCTACGAGAACGAGGTGCTGGCTGTGGATCTGATTGTACGCGAACTGAATTCTATAAAACTTCGAGCCCAGCCTATACATAAACTATCAATAGATATTCAGGTGACTTTAAATTAGAAAATTTATAGCGCTTCGCAACATTTAACATTTTTTACATTTTCTATTTAGTGATAAAAGATTTTTCCAGAAACAAATCTCAAGAAATAATGAGGGTCATCCCAGACCGAAATATATTTTTAAAGAATGTGGTGTGGAATTAATACCTAATTTGTTGAATTTATTCCAAATTTTTAATAATGGTTTAATTTAACCAAATCGCAAAATTGACTTGAAAGCTGCAGCCGGTACAAAACTAATATTTTAGAAACCAAGAGGGTCATTTAACCTCAAGTTTGTGGACGGACTCACTCATAGCTATAGGTAGGTCAATATAGATATTTTATAGAGTTAAATGATTTGTAGGTACATTTACACTCACCACTTAACTGGGTTAATTCATTGCAACTTAAAGGAAGGGAGCTAAAGCCTGAAATCTTAGATATTAGCGAAAGCAAATTTCTTTTAGAAAAAATAAATTTTTTTAAGAAATAGATGAAAAAGTTTATTCTTTTGTTTTCCAAAATTTCGTAAAATTCATCAAAAATTGTGCGAGATAAAACTAAAAATGTAAGCCAGCTATTTTCATTATGTAACTCATAACAGTTGCATAACATTTACTGCAGATTTACACTCTAAATTTTGCGGTTTTTTTATATCTCATTCAATTCTTGAAAATTTTGGAACACAATCGAAAAGCATTTTCTCAAAAAAAAAAATTCATTAAAAATTTGGTCTCGCAGATTTTTACAATGTTCCAAATATATTTTTAAAACATTTGTATTATTTTTTTTTATTCCTAAAATCCAAACAGAAATCAAATTAGAAAATTTTGTCCGAAAACTTTTCATTGATTTGAGAGATTATACAGTTTAAACTGGGACACTGTGAGTATTCGAACTATATGACATTAGATCTTTGGACATTATATCCCTGGACATTATAACCCTGGACACTATATCCCTGGACATTAGATCCCTGGACACTATATCCCTGGACATTATATTCTGGGAAATAATATCTTGGATAGAAGATTTTTCTATATAAAATTCGTGGGTATAAGATTCTTGGATATAAGATGCTGGGACATGAGATACTGGGACAAGGATCTTACATAAGCTGCTGGGACAAAAGATCATAGGATAACATATTATGACATACAATTTTGAAATGAAAACAGTTTGAGATGACACCAGAGGAAATGAAATATTTTATGCAAAAAAAACAGAATACAACTTTGCTTAAGAAGGAAAAGAATAAAAGATCTAAATAATTAAGGAATATCCAGAATGTGATCGCTAAGGTAGAATCTGGGTTAGGATCTAAGCACTCTTTGCTGGTCAACTGTCATTTTGATTCAGTTCCTCAATCTCCAGGTACGAGAAACAACTTTATTCATTTAACTCTGGATATTAAATACTGGAGTGCCCGGCGTTGCCCTTGAAATAGAAAATATCGAAATTAGGAAAAACAATTCTATTTTTGAGAAAAAAAATGTTGTTATACACTTTATTTAAAAAAATTATTTTAAAAGATACCGTTATATTTTTAGCATTTATTACCCCCGGGTACTCATGGGTTCTCTCTGAAAATTTCAGCTCATTCGGTTCAGCCGTTTTGTTAGCTATAGCTAACATACAAATATAAATATGTATATGAGCGAAAAGCTTTATTATATAGATTTTTTACAACAAGTGACGCAGTGATTAGTTGTTTAATTCATTGTTAGATAATTCTATCTTTCAGAATGTCATTGGTTTTATATTTTGACCTTCGGAGGTCATAGATATCTGGAGGTTGAATTCCTTCGTAATCATCTGAGGTCATAAAGGAGTATATCAGAATGAAATCGGAACACCAAAAAACCTATTATTTGATACCTCTCATGACTTATTTTCATTAATTTAATATTTGATTATTTTTGGAGGTCATTATCGAAGGGAGGTCAAAATGCAGGTCGGATATATGTGTCTATATCAGAGGCATGACTTATGTGGTAACTAAAAATATGAAAACATCTGATTAACTTAAAATAATTGAATTAGAGGGAAAAAGGTGATATTTTCCCGTATTTTCTGAGTTCATGGAGGTCAAAATGAAGGTCTATGACCTCCGATCTAAAATTTTCTTCATGATCCTTGTAGATGATCACAATTAGAGGCTGTATACAAAATTTTAGCCTTATATCTCAATTATTAGGACCAAACGCAGCCTGCACAAAATTTGAAGAAAAAAATTTATGAATATATGAATAAATATTTAGAATTAAAAAATAAAGAAATTTCAATATGACCGTTTTACAAAATCAAAAATTGTAAATTGGCTTATTTTTATATATTAAAAATTGGCCTAAACGGACCGTAGGCGAAACTTCTAGTGACGTTTCAGTTGTTAATTGGCTTATGACCTTGTCAGATGCACAACAGTACCCTGTAAACCTTTGACTGATTAAAGATGACGGAATTATCTTATCCTTACTAGAAGGCACAGAATATAAGTATTCACATGCAAATATTTCAAAACTGCAGTTAGACATAAAATATTTGGGGGGAATTATCGAGGAATACATTTAACGTCAATTATGTTGAGTTCACACTTACGTTAGCTTGCACTCCAAGGTTTACGGCAAATTAAACACAATTTTAAAGATAAACACACAGAGTTTTCTATCTTCGATGATTTGTTAAGGTTTAAAGGGTACCGTTCTAAATCGGGGATTCACCTCTTTGCATGGAGGATCACTTAAATAATGCTGACAGACCTAAGTTTTATTTTTCCTATTTCCATCAGTTCTTATCGTTTTTTCTAGTTTCATTAAAAACTAATAATTAGTCTCTGTACAGTGTACAACTTCAGCTAAATGTATCTTTTTCTTCTTGAAATATTAATTTTAATTCAACCCCCCCCCCTCCCCCCTGAATTAAAATATTAAAAGAAGATTATTTTAATGATATGGTCTGGTACATTTTCACAAAAGTAGATACGTTTCTCCTTAGGTTCATGCTTTTTTTCTTAGAATTCATGAATAGTTCTTAGAATTCAATATGAAATTTGTATCCTTCATGCAGGTTTAATTCTTTATCAGTCAATATCAGTCATATCAAACTAATGGTTTACTTGATTAGTCTTAAAATAAGACAAGAGCGAGTGGTAGTTGACTATTTGAAAGTATATCTACAGTTATTCATTAATGCTTACCTTAAATAAAGTAGAATCTAACTAATGAGACTAACTACAGTGATAACCAGTAAACAATGGAATAGGAAGACGACATTATAGAAATACTTAAGTGTTTTTGATGTTGTTACGAAGCCAATAATTTTACTAGACACTTATTAAATCACTACTTTTACGAAAAAGGTCTGATAAACTGCACAATTGCTGTGTCTCATGCTCATTGGACTTTTTAAAGTTATAATTTTATTCTAAAAGTCGTCTTTCTAATCCAGACTTTTTTGGTTATCACTGTATTTTGTAAAAACTTTTCTTCAAATTAAATTCCAGGGACCAAACAAAATTATCTGAAATTTAGATCCCAAAATATGACCTTACACAGGGTAATTGTACTTCACTGCAATCTTAGAAATCAAAATGTTTATACGCAGTTTACATAATGCATTACAGTCTAGACAAACCAGAATTCAAGCAAGTTACAAATAGGAAAGTCTTAACTAAACATTTTTTGTAACATATAAACCATGATGTTAAAGGAACTTTCTGAAATCCTTGGCTTCCAGGGCGTTGTCAAATATTGAGCACTGAGAGAGAGAGCACCCTACAGTTGACTATGACTATCCTACCAAATACGTTCCTTGGATCCTCTTGGCTCAATCAAACCTGTCCTTCTATCATCCTAATTATCCATAATTGGTTAGATACTACGTTACTATACAGTATACACTTACACACATTTATGTGCGTATACGCACAATAGGTACACGCAAACATACGCAAATACGCATTAGGCTAACAGACTCCCTCAGCCTGTGGGAGGGTGGACGTTTTGTGTACCCCTATTAGTTATTTTGCTCTACCAAGAATTAGTTTTAAACAGATTTCTTAATATGTGTCACATCACTAAAATTTATGTTTTTTTACATTTGTTAAAAACCTCCATTGCACCCTAACCATAAATCTATTTTTTAAATTCAACTGGCATTAAAAAATTGAGCTATAAACAATAACATTTATGGCCGACAACTATCCAGAGTTTCGACCCCCCAATCCTTCTATTCCATAAATTATTTACATTATTTTCTCTTTATTCCGAATCGTCTTTGCAATTTTAAATATTCCGAGCCATGTTTTTTACGGATATTACGTAACACAACAAAGATCTTTATTTAGATAATCTATATTGTTCCAAGGCAAAACCTGGACATTTTCAACCTTTTGAAGAAAAACTCTGATAACAAAACTTATTTTTATCCCTCTCCCTAATATCATTGCAATATAACCACCCCTCTGATAGTGTAAAATACTGTTATTTGAATCTTATTGTTAATTACTAATAAAAGTTCACAAAGGTTATCCAATATTTAATTAAAATGTTTATCTACTAAACTTGACAAAAAAATATAAAATTGAATCGTTAAATTGTATTAGGGGTTCTCGGGTTCAAGGAGCCCTCCTGTAACTTAAGGGTTTAATATTCTTTACTTAAACATGTTGATTAATATAACATTTTCTAGCTCAGTTATTTTTTAGACTAGAGATTTTTAATTTTAGATTTGATTATTGTTGCCCCCCCCCCCCCTGCTCACCCCCCTGTTTCTCTAATCAAACAATGTAATACTTCAAACATCAATGATTTAAATAGATATCAAATTATCCCCCCCCCCCCCCCCCCCTCTATTCTACTACAGAGTTTAAACCGTTTCTAAAAATGCGAGTTCGGAAATATGAGATCAAACGCTTGTATTTCCAATATATTGAAACCTTTCATTATATATTTTTATCATTCCAGTCCCATATTCTTAAACTATTTTTTAAATACTTAATCATAAGTACTGGCGTCTTAACTTTTCCCAATTCTGAAATTAAATAAATGAAACTCTGGAAACCCCGGAAACCCCTGTAATTGATATTAAATGAAGCCCTGTAACCGTTTGTCTTGTACTTGTTGATTTAGTAAACCATAACAGTTGAGTTTAAACCCTCGTCGCAGCAACACTGTCTGATACTTGATTATATCTAGAAATCACAAGGAGGTAAAATATATACTTATTATATATATACTTTCTAGTCATCATTTTTAGAGAAAGCTTTCCACTGATTTCAGAGCTTATTTGCTTTTCATAAACTATTAACATACAAACAACCATTGTTCATGGCACTCTGAAGGAGTATTGAATCTGGGTTAGCAATCCTCCCTTGTCGCGTCTATTTTTAAGATTTATAGTTAGTCTTTTTTAGAAGAGTTAAAATACTTTAACAAGAATGAAAATTATATAATCTGTACATAATATATGAAATTGGATTCATGCTAATTCTGCTTTTTGACAACCTGAAGCTATCCAAGCATAGATATCTAGTGAAACTACCTCTAGACTTTATTTACCACCCGGAGATAAAATGAAAACGAAACCGTTCTTCATGTTTTGACAGGTTTAGTCGGAGCCTTGTGATTAATTGAATTTTGCGTAGAAACCGCTATACTCAAACCTTATACATGCCGCGGTTTTAGTTTAGAAAAGAAATGTGGTTATGATGGGGAGGGGGCACCTTCTTTCCGCCCCTCTTTAAAAGAAGATCCCGAATAAGCACCTTTTCAATGACAAACAGAAACTTTGTTGAGTCATTCGACAAACGGAGATTGTTAACAATATAGTTAAACATACTTACACACCTGTACCTTAACAAGTAAATATTTGATGATGATGCAGTATCCTGTGCTATTGTAGATATATTTAAATCCAGGAGCTAGTGATGATGTAGCATCCTGTGCTATTGTAGATAGATTTAAATTCAGGAGCTAGTGATGATGCAGTATCCTGTGCTATTGTAGATATATTTAAATTCAGGAGCTAGTGATAATGCAGTATCCTGGGCTATTGTAGATATATTTAAATTCAGGAGCTAGTGATGATGCAGTATCCTGTGCTATTATATATATATTTAAATTCAGGAGCTAGTGATGATGTAGTATCCTGTGCTATTGTAGATATATTTAAATTCAGGAGCTAGTGATGATGCAGTATCCTGTGCTATTATATATATATTTAAATCCAGGAGCTAGTGATGATGCAGTATCCTGTGCTATTATATATATATTTAAATCTAGGAGCTAGTGATGATGCAGTATCCTGTGCTATTATGCTGGAAATCCTGGAGGTTCTTACTCAATCCTCTACTCCTCTTAGGTAGGATAGGTGATAACTCACTCAATATTGTTTTTAATTCCTTTTTTCCGTTCAGAAGTTTAAAATAAGTGTTTTAGTCTTGAAATTTCAATTTTCTAAAACTAATTTCAAATTAGATTAGAGCCACAACTTTTATTTTGAAGATCTGTTGCACTCAAATCTAGACATAATAATTAGTAAGTGGTCAAAATTATGCAGAATTATTAATATGACTTTGTGACTCCTTAACTCACCTAGTTATGAAACTGAATCTTTTGGTTACATATTAGATATTCGATATTTTTCTTCTCATTCTCAATAGTTTTTCCAAAAGAGTAATTATTTTTTAATGCACGTAAGACTTCAATCGTCATATTAGCTTGTTTTTGTAGATTTAAACGAATGTTCGTCTCCATCTGATTTTGTAATCCCTAGAAAAGCTCTTAGATTTACTTCTGAAAAGGATTAGAGACTAAACTTCATGTAAACTGTGCCGTAAACTATTTAATGTACAACTTGTTCCAACTGCCTAAAAGTCAACCCGGTACTTGAAATGAACCTAAGTTGTCAGTGATATGTTTAGGCACAACCTCGTGTTCTTGTTTAATGGTGCAGAGGAGAATATGCTTCCTGCAGCTCACGGGTTCATTACCCAGCATATCTGGGCCGAGGACATCAGGGCCTTTATTAACCTTGAGTCCTGTGGTAGTGGAGGTAGGGAGCTAGTATTCCAGACTGGTCCAGGGCATCCCTGGTTAGTGGAAGCATATGCTGATGTTGCTCCTCATCCTTTTGCTTCTGTTATCGGTCAGGAGCTCTTTCAGACAGGAGTTATTCCAGCAGATACAGACTTCAGGTACAAGATACATTAAATTCGTGTTTAATAACAACGATATTCATGCTGTCCAAGATATAAGATTTATTTACCCCGTTTAGAGAATTACCAATGAAACTCGTGATAATCCTTCTTTTAAAATACTCGGAGAGTCTGGCTTGATGAAAACTGAACCTTTGATTTCCATATATCTGATGCATCTAAAAATATATCTAAAGCCTCTTTCTTAAAAAAGTACGTCACATCTCTCTACTACGCCTTGATATCAACAATCTTTTTCAACTCCAAAACGATGATCCAAGGATCTAAATATAATTCCCACTGATCCAATTTTTTATTCATTAAAGATTTCTCCTACTTCCTTACCTTATTACTAAACTAATTTTAAATTTTATGCATTGAATGCATATAAATTAGTCCGCTGGATGTCTATACAGGCGGCAAAATAACAACCAAAATATACGGAAGGGGAAAATATTTGCTCTTTAAACACGTATCTCTTAATTGTTGAAAAATGCAAGATCTAAAAAATATTTCAATTGTGTAGTTTTAATTTTTATTGTTATATTTGTAATTAGGATATTCCGTGATTATGGAAATATCCCTGGTCTGGATATTGCTTATATGAAGAATGGATATGTTTATCATACTGTTTATGATACAGAAGAGAATATACCAGCTGGAAGTATACAGAGAGCAGGTAGTGAACCAGTACAGTGTGTTCCACTAAACAAAATTATAGAAAATCATAGATTTATAGAAGATTCAAGGTTAAGACATTTTGTAGACAAGACTTTCAAAGTTATGCAAACTTTTTAATTTGAAGAAGTATAAAATGTCTATTGTCCATGTATAACATGTCTATAGTTCATGTATAAATTGTCCTGTCAATGAAATGTCCTTTCTATAAAAAGTCTTTCTATTAAATGCCCTATCTATAAAAAGTCTTTTTATGAAATGTCCTTTCTATTATATTTCCCGACACTATTTAAAGACGACTAAGTTTGATATTGAATTTGAAGTGCTTGAGTTGAATTTACCAGGACTGCTCGTAAATAAATATGAAATGATATTGAATATAGGAATCATTTTAATCCTTTTATAATCGTATTTTTCCTGTTTTTTCTTTGTTTTAACTCTAAATACATATCTAATATCATACTGGGTCGTCTTTATGCTGTCATGTTTATTGGAACACACTAGTAAGCATCAAAAAGGATAAGTTATCATTGAATACGTTCACTGTACAGTAAACTATACTACACATTTATTCCATATTTACAAGGATAAATAAATTGTTGAATTTTAGGTGATAATCTCCTGGCAGTTGTCGGTCATATTGCGCAGTCTGATATTCTTGCCGATACATCTTCCCACAGTGAAGGCGGCGTCGTCTTCTTTGATTTTCTCGGTTTATTCTTGATCCACTACCCGGAGTGGGTGGGGATGTTGCTAAACCTGACCGTGGTGGGGTACGCTCTCTTTAGGTCCTGGGACAAAGCGAAGAATAGTTATAGGTAGAATATTTAGCTTGTTCTTACTGTTTAATTTTGTTTTATTTACTTTTAAATATGAGGTTGTTATTTGTATGTAATGGGACTTCAAGCGTAATTTCAAGTGACCCTCTTTACACAGATGGAAATGCCATATTCATAACATTACCCTTGAAACCTTGAAACCTGATCAATACTGTGGAAGATATTGTCGTTTTTCTAGGTTTAAAAGTGTTTAATTCCCCTGCATGTTTTTCTGTAGTAGAAATGCGGAAGTCATTTTAGTAAAGAACCCACAATTGAAATTAATCAGTTTTTAAAATTAAATAATACTCGATTTTCAGGGTGAGTCAAAAAAAAAGTGTGATTTGCGGCGCCTGGTGCAAAATTGTACCTTTTTTGTGCAACTCTCCTGTATGGTGTTTTTTCAATATTTTTTTAAAAATTTGTATTTTTTTTGGTACTCCAATTGCCCAAAAGAAAATCTGCGAATCTTTTTTTCTCTCAAAATCAAAAGTTCAGAAAAGCAAAAATGTGCATTCATATTATTTCTCTCTAAATCTAAAATTTTATTAAGATTGAATCACAGAATCACAGAAAATTGGCAAAATTGTAATAATAAAATTCGCAATTTTCAGTTCTGGGCTATTTTTTAAGAAAAAGTTATTTAAATTCTCTATTTCCTTTCTTCTTGGTTTATTCTAAAGCATTAGATATACGCTGTTCAGTTAAAACCTTAAGAACCATTGAAAAACATTTTTTCCGTAAAAATTATACCAGAACTGAAAATTGCGAATTTTCTAATTACAATTTTGCAAATTTTCTGAGATTCTTTTTAAAATTTTAGATTTCGATAGAAACAATTTATTTACACATTTTTGTTTTTCTGAACTTTTGATTTTGAAAGAAAAAAACGTTCGCGGATTTTTTTTGGGCCATTGAAGTACCAAAAAAAATACAAATTTTCAAAAAATATTAAAAAAAAACATCAACAGAAGAGCTGCACAAAAAAATTTACACTAATGCACCAGGCGCCGCAAATCACACTTTTTTTGACTCACCCTGTATGATTAATCAGACAAAGCTTTGATGGGTATCGCTGTGAATCGAATTTTGCCATCTTTGCATGGAAGGCCACCGGAAATTACGCTTACAGTCCCTTTCAGTAATAAAATGACGTTTGTTATAAATTAAAGTAGTTATGTTTTAAAAACAGTGAATATCTGATTTTTGCAATTTAGTATATTTTGTTTATTTACTATTTATGCCATTATATATCTCACGTTAAGAAGTTTTTAAAACTAAATCGCAAACAAACAATGAAACATCATTCTGCAGAATTATTGAGTTGATATTATTATATTTAAACCTATATTTGTTGTAGGTCTGGAGTTACAACTGGTGTGTATACTAGACAGCTTGCTTATACATTTGCAATGCAGGTACAGGACATGATTACAAATATATTATTTGTGTTTAGATATCATCACAAAACCATGTAATTAAGTTCTTATTTTACAGATTTGTGGTTGTGTTGCCAGCTTCATAGTTGTAACCTTCATTGCTACAATAATAGATATATTTTCTAAAACAATGTCTTGGTACAGGTCAGCATTAACTTTAATACTCTTGTAATTCATATTTTTCTTCTTCTTTAATTTTAAGTAAAAAAATCGATATTTTCTGTCTGATCATTAATACCTCCTCTTCTGACTTTTTAATCTCATTTTTTATATTTTCATACATTAAGCTAATTTTCGAATTTTAGTCGGCCCTGGCTTATTTTCTTCTTGTACATGGTTCCCACTATCTGTACTGTCATAGCTGTCCTCTACTTCGCTCTCCCCAGGCAGAAGAAGTATTTCCAGTTCTCCGACGGAGCCTGGGTTATAGAGTCCTTGTACTTCGAAGTGAGCAAACTTATCTGGGCCTTCTTCACACTCTTGATGACGGTGGCGCGGCTCAAGTCCTCCTTCTTCTGCATGGTCTGGGTTCTCTTCCCTTCAATAGGTAACTTAGACATTTATAATGGCGACTTTGACTTGGTCCTTTGAAATATAAACTTGAAAAACTTCGCTGAATTTTGTTCAACATTTGACAATTACCAATAAGCAGCTTGGATTATATTTTTTTGTTTGACTTTATGTTGATTAAGCTTGACTTCAAAATGTTGATTCATGTTTTTATCTGTAAATTTTAAATTAAGCATGAATTTGAGAATGTCCGGGAATTTCCGAGATTTTCATCGGAAGCGGTACATAAGCTTATTGGGACTATAGAGCCGGGGTAATATCAAGTGAACCTCCAGTTGTAGATCAGCGTGTCCGATTCACGAGACAGTTCCCTTTAAATCTTGGACTGATCAAGGTTGTCGGACGTATCCTCGTTAATCTACAGGAACGCTTTTAATTCTTGAATATTTTGTTTGAAAGCTGTTTTATATTAAAAAGAATATTAATATTCACTTTTTAGACGTGACAGAATATAAATTTGCAGGGGTCAATATAATTCCTAAAAAAGCTGATTTTCTCGATCCCAAAATAATTTTTTGCCCCCAACTTAAAAAAAATGCCCCCAGTTAAAATTTTTTTTTCCAGTTCCACTAACACATTTGCCCCCATTGCTCCCAATTTGAAAAAAATGCCCCAAATAATAAATAAAATTTTAAATTCCACTAACACATATGCCCCCAATTTTTTTTTAGATTCCCACAATTAAAGAATTTGCCCCCATTTCTTTCAAATTTGTCAATGCCAAATGGGATTGAAAAAGGAATTATATTGTCCCCTGTAAATATGTTGTTTTGAATTTTTAAAGCCGCTTTTAACGTTTTTCAGAAATTCAAGAGGTTTTTAATATAATTAAACACAAAGATCTCTGTTTTCTAAGATTTAAAGGGTTGAAAAGTTTAAAGGGTACTGTTGTTAATCTTTGCATGAAGGGTCACTTTAATTTCGCTTACAGTCCCACTAACCCTGTAAACTAATATTGTTTAAAGGGTACTGTTGTTAATCTTTGCATGAAGGGTTACTTTAACTTCGCTTACAGTCCCACTAACCCTGTAAACTAATATTGTTTAAAGGGTACTGTTGTTAATCTTTGCATGAAGGGTTACTTTAACTTCGCTTACAGTCCCACTAACCCTGTAAACTAATATTGTTTAAAGGGTACTGTTGTTAATCTTTGCATGAAGGGTTACTTTAACTTCGCTTACAGTCCCACTAACCCTGTAAACTAATATTGTTTAAAGGGTACTGTTGTTAATCTTTGCATGAAGGGTTACTTTAACTTCGCTTACAGTCCCACTAACCCTGTAAACTAATATTGTTTAAAGGGTACTGTTGTTAATCTTTGCATGAAGGGTTACTTTAACTTCGCTTACAGTCCCACTAACCCTGTAAACTAATATTGTTTAAAGGGTACTGTTGTTAATCTTTGCATGAAGGATCACTTTAATTTCGCTTACAGTCCCACTAACCCTGTAAACTAATATTGTTTAAAGGACGAAGTATTCTGGAGAATATTTACGATAAAACTCCAGCTAAACGGAAACCTCGTGATCTCACCTGGTTGGTCATTCATCTTCTCTCCCTCCTCATCCCACTCATCCTCAACATGTATCTGATCCTCACAACCTTCTCCATGTTCATTCCCATCATGAGTAGATCAGGGTCAGCTCTTAACCCAGACCTTATAATTGGATACAAGGTAAACCATGTCTAGTTGTTTTTTTTTTACAAATATTTATAACAATCAGTATCTACATTTAATAATAACCAACAACTGAACACAACAACTAATTGATAAACTAATTACATAGGCCTGGGCATTTTAATATAAACAGAGGCGTAGTCAGAAATTTGAAAAGGGGGGGGCTTAAATCTTTTATCATTCCAGGTGGGCGGCTTAGCAACCGTTGGGGCCTATAAATCTCCTGAAATTCATTGATTTTTTGGGCCAGGGGGGCTGAGCCCCTATAGCCACCCCCCTGACTACGCCTCTAAGTATTAATAATTTTTTTTTTGTCTTTTTATTATTGATTATGATTTTATATGTCATGTCATCAAAACAATCCTAGTAAAACTAAAGAAAATTAAGCTCATGACAAAATAGCAGTTTAATTTTAATTTGATTTGACAATATGTATGTGATGTGAATTTGTTCTATTTATGAAAATGTTTACTGTTTAGGCTGCTGGTATGTGATGTGAATTTGTTCTATTTATGAAAATGTTCACTGTTAAGGCTGCTGGTATGACCCTGGCCACCCTGTCCTTCTTGTGCCCGTTGAGTATGGTGATGAATAAACCAACGAATGTTATCACAACACTTTACCTTACTACCTTCATTACTGTTATAGCTGTGATAGTTACTCCATTAGGTAGGCAAATACAGGGATGAGGGGGGGGGGGTGGAGGTGTAATATATTTACTCTATTCCTATAGACTGTTTTTTTTTGTTTCATCTCAAGAAAGGATAAAAAGTGTTGATTTATTTTCTCAAGAAATGGCATTTTATTATCAATGGTTTCAGGATCTTTTAAAAAGGCAGTTTCAATTCTAATCTTGTATATCAAATTCATAATTTCATTGTCTAGGAAAATTTGATTTGTTCCCTTTTCCTGAAGTAATTATTTGTTTAATCCCTTGATACTATTCCAGGGTTTCCCTACAGTGCTTCTGAATCTAGTTACTCACCTCATCGTGCTCTTGTCATTCACACAGATAGAGAGTTCTACAATAGAGATGGAACTCTGCATAAGTATGTTCAGCTATTTAACATTAATGTCTTTACGAATCAAAGCAAATATTGAAATATTTCCTCTCATTATCATCTTATTCTGCAACGATACCTGAAGAGGCTACAGACGTAATGTCAAGTGATTTACAGAATGAAACATCCGGATTCACAAGAGTACCTTAATAACCTTTGGTTCACGTAGATATCCTTATTCACAAGAGTACCTTAATAACCTTTGGTTCACGTAGATTCACAACAGTACCTTAATAACCTTTGGTTCACGTAGATATCCTTATTCACAACAGTACCTTAATAACCTTTGGTTCACGTAGATATCCTTATTTTTATTGCTGAAATTTTAGTGCAGAGAAGGCTGGAGTGTGTACATTCGAGTTTCCCGTCAATCAATTTTATAGAAGTAAAAGTAAGGATTTCTACCCTTACTTTCTAATCTATCCTTGATTCAAAGGTTTAAAGTGTATGTTACCTTTGTAAAAATGAAGGGTCAATTAATACGAAATCACACAGTCCCTTTAATCGTTTTTTACATCATTATCGTTTTAATCCTCATTGTCATAAACTCTCGTCCTAATTATTTAATATAAATCTGTTTAGAGCTGACTCTGGTTACTTCATGGTTAACCTGGACCGAAACTCTCCAGCGATATTAAAGGGTTGGTTACCAGAGTTATCAACAAGTAAAGAGGTAATCTTAAAACCAAACGAGAGTTTCTGTTTAAATCCCAGGGTTCAATGGAATTTTAAAAAGGGAACATTTTAAAACCAAAATTGGCTGTTAAAACACTTGTACTGTACTGCAGTATATGGCTGTCAACCAAGCACAACTAATTATATATTTATATATCTAGTAAGGACTGTGAGAACGCATGTATTGTACTCCAGTGTATCGATGTCCCAAGTACAACTAGTTATAGGAATACTTAAATGGTGGTTTAATGAGGTTATGACATGTCTGGGCGGGAAAAGACCATCAAGGCCCCAGAAATAGTCCAAAATATTGCGAATTGTTCAAACCATATTAGCAAGGGTTCGAGAAGTATGTTTGCCAGATAGCTTGATGTATGCTTTAATATTGTAAACAAAGTTGTAAAGCAAGATATAAAAATGACAAAGATCTGGGTTAAATTTGTCCCAAAGTCTCTGACATTGGTCCAAAGGGATTACATTGATTATGTATCTCGTATGTAAATCAAAACCAGAAAAATCCTCAAAAGTCCTTCATACATTCAATACTAATCTCTTTTTTCTTTTGATCGCTCTCAATGGGTCTAAAACAGACTATGATGGATCAAAATTGAGACCATTCTGTAAATTTTCTTGCTGTGACGAACGAAGCTGATTACTTTCCAGAGAACGCTCCTTACATTACAAATTAAAAAGATGCTTTAAAATGCCCGTTTTTCATAGAACCTATATCTCTTTCACACTCCATAAAGCTTTCATTACTTTTTCTAACATTACAAATAAATCTATAATTTTTCTTTATTTTCATCGTCGAAAAATACTAGCAATCCACCACCAATTTATATTAAGTATCCTTTCCTTTTACTTCTATTTTTATACTTTTTAGAATTGGGGGCGAAATATTCCCACAGTCTCTACTTTTAGAGGTTTTTAAATATTTTCTCCTGCAACACTTAATTTTGTATGTTTTTGTTAATATTTCATAAATGAATAATTTTTTACTTACTTACAAAGATCTGATTGACATCAACCGATCTAAAAAATCATCCGGTATAAATATTGTCAACTTTCAACAACACAATTACAGGACTGAGACATCTTCAAGTACCCCAATTTTTTTTTGCGAAACTTACTGATCACACCTCGTATGTTTCAATTACAACTATATATTTAGATATCTAGTAAGGACTGTGAAAACTATCTACTGTGGTGTACCTATATATTACCCTGCAGCTACACTACTATATATTTAGATATCTAGTAAGGACTGTGAAAACTATCTGTATTGTGGTGTACCTATCTATTACCCTGCAGCTACACTTCTAAGGATAAATAACTGGATTCCTGCACCTAAACCTAAACTATACAAGTAAGTAATGAAATATTCTCATTTTACAGAGTTTAATTTTACTTTTCTTGATTTGTATGATTTTATTTGACTTCGAACGTGATTTGATGTTACTTTGATTGATTTAGTTTTGATTTTTTTTAGGACAATTGATCTTGAAATGATTCATCAGGATGCACTTAGTGTGAATATTAGACGGGTTCTGTTTAGAGCTCAAGGTAGACATTGTTAAAAAATCTAGATATTAAACAAACAAAAAAATCTAAAATTTTGCATGATTTTTTACTTTTCTTACATTTTTTAACTAGTTCACAAGTCCGTTTAGCACAATATACATTTTTAGCAGAGGTTTTTTACAATTAAATACTTTTTACCGATTTACCTAATCTAAATGTGAGGAAAATCGGTCAAGGGGTTCCTGAGTTATGATGGGATATAAAGATTAATCTTGCTTTGTGTCAGGCCCGGATCATATGGGAGTTTTTATATCTCCATCTCTCGGTATAAAACTGGTATCCTGGTCTCTAGCGGATGGAAAACTTCTCGAGGTAAATATTCCTTTTTCATCATAAATGGTTACATGAGGTAAGGACCAGTTCAATATGAAGAAGACGGGTTAAACTGAAGAAAAGTTGGTTAGGATTAGAGAAACTATATAAACTGGATTGATCAGGTTTAAAGTAGACCAAACTGGTCCAATCAGAAATATATAGTTTTATTTGTGTCTGACTAATACAGGGGACACTGACAGTCGCTAGCCATTATCTGATTTAATTACTAGTCTGGAAACCCAGCTTTGCCTGGAAACTAATCTTCCGGTAGAAAAGTTAACCCACTCAACTTAGAATTTTAAACCCAGACTAAAAAATATTTCTGTGGTTCTACTGAGTTCCGCTATCAAAATATGTGGCAAATCGGTCAAGGAGTTCTGAATTATGATCGGACAACCAAACAAACAGAGATTACTACTTTGTGTATATATATACTTAGAAACTAAACACATTGTTGGTTAGGGACCTGAATGGAAGCATGGACGGCCCACCTTCTATATATTCAACTCCCAAGGGAAGGATACTGAACCTTGGGAGTTCTGGTTGGATCTTGAGGTCCCCAGGTCACATTACGAAGGAAATGAACTTGTCGACATTGCTATAACAGGTCACCTTTATTCAAGTTCTTATAATAAATATAATATAATACCCCCATCAGTAAACATGACTCTTACCATTTCCATTATCAGTACATTATCAGCTATTAGTACAAGTTTTTACACACTTTGAATAATTGGTTATCCTAAAATGCAAAAATAAAATAATGTTAATTTCTTTTAGGACATCACCTCCACGGGGCTCAGATGAAATCCACGCAGTTTAAAGCTTTCCTTGCTCAATTCCCAGGATGGAGTTATCCAGTTGGTTGGACTGCAGCCTACAAGGCGTACAAGTTCTAAACATGCGTAATTAAAAGCGTAATTTTCACATAATGCCTGATTCAATACTTAAATATGTTGAAAAAACGCGGCATTAAGTTTGTTAAATAATTGTATTAGAACATGACTTACATTTAAGTCACTAAATTTGAGCTTAGTTGAACCAAAGACAAAGAAAGAGAATTGATTTTATATCGTTTAAATACCATAATGGAACATCAACCAGCCAATATTTATATCTAGATAATAGTTTAACAGCTTTTTTAAAATTTAATATTTATGTGTCTGTTCATTTGACTAAACTGTTGTCATCTTTTAATCGAATCTAGTCACAAACAATGCGGTCATTAATCCAACTATGATTAGATATTGTTTAATGTTGAGATTAAAATGCTTTCTACAATCATAATCAAAAAGGCCCGTTTTAATTGAAAGATAATCAGGCGGCTCTAAATATATATATATATATATATATATATATGGCAATTTTAAATGCTTATAAAAGACAGACCACATTTGGTAATGGCAGGACTATTTTGTTATTATCATTTCATCAATCATATTTGTAAAATTAGATTGTAAAGTCGTCTGATTAATTGTAAATTAATTCCGGGTTTGTATGATTAGGACTGTATTCAAAAGTTAATGTTTGTTCACTTGTGTATTTACCCCAGAAACTAAACAAATGTTAACCAATGAATTTATTTAACTTCAAATATCCATTTTAAATTATTATAGTATTAAAAATTGAAACCCATTTTTAATGTCAAAATTGTGATGCAAGTTGTTCATTTGAAAAGTAATACTTTTTTTACGTAACAATTTTTGTTCCTTTTTCTTTTTACTTAAGATCTCAAGGAAGTGATGTTACTCCATGTTGAAACTAAGTTTGAACATTTATTTAGTCTGGTTTGTTTTATACTTTTATATGTTAAACCTGTTCCGTTACCCCGCTACCACAAAAGGCATCATTTTGAATATTTGGAACAAATTTATTAAATTCTACATCGCCCTGTATGTATTTCATGTCTCACGAAACATGACTATAGCAAGACGACTTGAATGTCGTCTTAACTTAGAATTTATTTGTGGTATTCAGTCGTCAACCTACTTTCACATGTATGGTTCTTTAAATCAATAACCACAAAACTCTCTTAGTCTTGGCATTTTCAAAATATTGGTGCTTTCAACATTACCGTAGATATTCAGAATTTTGTTTAGATTTTAATTTTTTATTAAATAAAACCAAAATTGTCGAAATCTCCGGTAATATTGAAAGCACAGAAAGGGCAGATCACATTTTGGAAATGCCAAGACTGTAGGTATTTTCACTTAGAATTTTTTTTGAAAATTCTAAATTTTGCCTTGTTTCTAGTTTTATTAGATCCTGTTCCTCAAACCTGAAACCTTTAACACAATTAGAGTTTATTTCACTTTGACTGATGAGAGTTCAGAACTTCTTCCATCCTAAAACGTGCTTGAAAACTGAAACCATATTTTAACATTAATAAAGCTCTTTGTTTAAATGCGACAACAAGAATTTGATAATGAATCCGGAATTAAAATTGCAAAGACTTGATTTATGTCGTTAGAAAGCAAGCAAAGAAAAAAGTCGTATTTACGTAAAAATTGATGTCGCAAATTTTAAGTTTTTCAGTTTGATGAACATTGACCTATCCTGGTCTATAATTCACCTTTATAGTCGCAACTGAACTCTGAATAAGTCGAAGAAACTCGAGACTATGTTTGTTAAATGTGTTAAATATTTTGTGATTATAACCCCTTGTAATTTGTTGAATTTGAACACCCAAACTATGATGAATGTTATGCAAAAGGAGTTTTTAATTGCAGAAAAATGCCAGGTGTTTGCCAGCGTTGTGACAAGGAAATAATACTTTAAAAAAATACTTTTTTGATTTTTGTCGATGAATTTTTACGAAATTATTAACATTCTACTTTCACTTTGTCTACGCTTAGTTATCCGTCCTGGTTTGAAACACTATATCATATATTAATGCTAAAAGAAATATTAGCGCTCTTTACGTGATTACTATTTAGATGATATAATTTAATTAAGTATTGATTTGGCAGAATGTTTATTTTGCGGAGGAGGTGAAGGGTCTGGGGAAATCCTGGCACAAACTTTGCTTCACCTGTCAGGCCTGCAGGTGCAGTACAGCATAGGACAGATCACAACAGGACTGCAGTACATGACAGGACAGGACAACATAGCAAAGTCTATGTTTACTTAACAGAAATAGCTGCTAAAATTACTACAAACATAATAAATTTTTTAAAATTATGGTTTATGTTATTAATCTTATTAAACTTACGAATCTTGCAAAATAATAGGGAAATTTTGTTGAATTACTTGGATAAAAACACCTGACACATTCCACGACCTATGTTTAGAAAGATGTAAACCCTTTGTTATCAAATCAGCAACTTTTATAGTGCCCCCCATGAGTAATTTTAATACTTCTTAAAATTGGGTTCTCAACATGACATGCCTCAATATGATTTATATAATATTTATAGGAAAATGCTGAGCTCAGGATCCATTTCAGAACACGATAATCAGGTCTTCTGCAACTCTTGTTACAGGTACAAACAACTGCAGTACACACTAATGTAGCTTCTCTATTGGTTTCTAGTACAATTTAATTATCAATAAAAATCCGTGTTGTTTCTGACATACACATATATTCAGGAAAAACTTTGGACCTAAAGGCTACGGGTTCGGAGTAGGAAGTGGAACCTTGTCAATGGATGATGGAAAAGGATACCAGACAAATCCTAATGAGGTGGAATATCCCTATTTCTCATACCCTAGATTATTTATCAGTAATACACAATTTTACATGATTTTTATTTGAATTGTTTAATTTGTTTAGATTGACCATAAAGCTAAGGCTTACATAGCTCCCAAGAAGCCATTAGTTCAATCCAACACGGAGAATACAGTTGCCCCCTCAAGTGCAGGTAGTTATGGTTTGTGGTTGGATTGTGGAATGGTCAAATGGTTAAATGGTTTGGTGGTGGGTTAAATTACAATTTGATTTTTCAGATCTTAATTTTTCTTGAAAAATTAGTTAATTCAACTGTTCTTAGCTACAGCTGCCACGGCGAAGTTTAAGCCTAAGTGGGGCGGAGCTGATATCTGCCCAAGATGTGAGAAATCTGTTTTCATCGCAGAACTGATGCGTGGGGCTGGGAAAGCATGGCATAAGTCCTGCTTTACGTGTCAGGTAATTCGTAAAAACAAATACAGGGTATATATTTTCAAGGACCCCCCCCCCCCCCTCCTACTAGAAGGAAATGATTTTTATTGCTTTGGGGAAAAATTTTTGTTTTTCTTTTATCCTCTTCTATTAACCTTCAAGACTTATTTATTATGGCTGAATTCATCTTATAAAACCCCTAAAGAATATGTTTGTTATCCGCAACAGCTTTTTATCTATTAATCTAAGGATGTGTTCACAATAATTTGTTTCCTAGTTGTGCAACAAGAGAGTAGATAGTAGTATGCTGTGTGAGAGAGAAGGAGAGATCTACTGTAAATCCTGTTACGGCAGAAACTTTGGTCCTAAGGTAATATATTCTTTCAATGTTTCTTAATCATGGATAATTTTTTAAACTTTGAAATTGCATTCTTTATATATTAAGATAGTAAGTGCCCAATGCCTGTATAGTTGTTCACTGTTCCCTGTTCAGATATGATTTGATCCAATTTTTAATTTAGGTTCTGTTTAGTAGTTCTTTTGAATCCACCCTTTTCAGGTCTTTTGTTGCCTGTATTTAAGACTAGACTCACATAATTTTATGTAAATAAGTAACTGTGTCCGCCTCAACCAATATGCTAGGCGGAGCCATTAATAGTTTATAACTCTTGTTTTGTTATTTAAACATTTAAACCATTTTATTTGAATTATTATTTGCTTCAGGGAGTTGGGTTTGGTATTGGAGCTGGAACTCTGCAGACCAACTAGTGTTTAGTGTTTACTAAATACGCAGTCTCTGCCTTTGGTTTGATATCATGTATCTCAATTATATATTGATTGCTGAACCTCATGTACAATAATTATCTATGCATTTATTGAAATTAAGCATTTTCTGAGTGAATCAATGAAAGCAAAAAAAAGACAAAGTAAAATTTGCAATTTTTTTAATATTTCTGGCCCAATCGTAAAAAGCAATATATCTAGTTTTCAACTTAGAAAATATCAATAATCATTAAACAGACTATAAGTGGCCACATACACCTGAAGTACCTTCTCAACCCGGTTGTTCACTTTCCAGTACTTTTTATCTATCTGCATTCTGCATAATTTCCAATATGCTGTGATCATAAAGTTGTACATTGCATATATTTACATTTTGTTTTTCTTACAAAATTGTGACAAACTGTGAAGATGATTGATTGACCTCTATTCTTGTACAGATCTCTAAAATATGTACAAATGTTTAGTATTATTGCTCTGTAAGCTATATGCCAGTGTCTTCTGTACATGCTGTGCTCCTAACACTGTACACTACAGTATTGTATACAAACTGATATAGATTTAAGAATTGTTTTTAAAGAAGTTAAAAATAATGTTTATTAACCCTAACAAAGTTTTAAGTGTTAAATGAAATTGATCAACTCCTATATTTGTTAATTTTGGGATAAAAATTTATATTTTTTGTAAAGCTAAAAATTGTTGTGAAAATTTGTATTTTTAAATAAAGGTTTATCATTATTACGACACCGTTAATGCAAGTTACACACAGGTATTGTATATACATTTACACTAGGGTCACAAACGCAGGAGATTAAACAAAATATTTTGGGTGCATAGTTTCTATGGGTGATGTGGCCCAATATGAGTATTTTGTGAAAATTTGAGGTTGATCGGAACCTGTATCAGGTGGAAGTAGCTTTCAGGATAGGGGGACAATTCGACACTGTGACACTATATTTTGTAGAGGCTGAGCCTGATGGAGGTTTCCAAATTTTCTTTGAGATCCGTGTTGAGGACCACAATGGGAGGCTACTTGCATAATTTCAGCCTCTCAAGTTTTAGAACCAAATGCAGCCTCCAAAAAATGTAGTGTCACAAAGTGTCGATTTTCCCCCCTATCCATTTGAACTATTTTTGTGTTCATTTGAAATATTTTTGATCTAGAACTATTTTTTAAAAATATTTTTTTGGGTTAATTTAACTATTTTTATGCTCATTTGAACTTTTTCATTTGAACTACTTTTATTGTCATTTGAAATATTTTTTTGTTCATTCAAACTATTCTTAAATATTCTTGCCAATCTCAAAATTATAAAACGCTTTTGTTTTGAAAATAGTTCAAAAGAGCAAATATTGTGTTTATTTTATGACATCATTTCAGTAGTTCAAAGGACCAATAGTTCAAACGGCAGTAATTCAAACAGTTGTACACTAAACTGTCTGCCTATAACTTTCAAACTTTTCAAAAAAATCTGTTTAATATAATTTTGTCAATTGTGTCCCTATGTTAGGGAACAAAATTAATAAATCAGAAACATTGCAAAATTTAGTTTTCAGAAAAAATTGCATGTGGCAAATAATTATTGTTTTCCATCTAATCATTAATTTAATACCAAACAAAAGTAAAATATTGTAATTTAAGGCACAGGGTCGGAAAGGTATTTAATTGTTCAATTTATTAAAGAGCTATTGAGAAAAACAAAAAGTTTTTAAATATTTCACAAAAACCAAATAATTTTGCTTCTCTAAGACTTACTGAAACTCGATAAGCTGCGAGAGCACAAAGTCGCACCAGCAATGAGTTAGACCTTTTTTCTTAAAATGGAGTGTGATGCGAAGAAAGTCCCTTTTTACAAAATATAAAATACGAGGCTTTCAGAGCGCTCATTAACAAAACAAAAAAGTTCGCGGATTTTATTAAAAAATTTCTTGGATTTTTGAACAGACAGACAAGCAACGTATATATATATACTAGACGTTCAAGGGACTTCGCGCCCATCTTCTATTTCAATTGAACATTTTCGCTTTGTATCCATTGTAAAACAGAAACAAAAGTTTGTGGATTTAATCAAAAATTTTGTGGATTTTCAAAATTTCATGAAAATCGAATTTTGTGGGAGGTTAATTTTTGAAATTTTGATCATACCTAAATCTGCCCTGGGGTCATGTGAGTCCCTTTCCAATTTTGGACCCGATCGGTTCAGCCGTTCATTGGCTACAAACAAACAAACAGACAAGCAAAGTATAACTTATTTTTAAGTAAACAATTAACAATAAACAAAAGTACTCTCCTAGACTGTACAAATACAGAGATTCATATGTACTGTATAAACCTACAGTACACACCTTTGGTTCGGTAATCCTTGCACACACTCTTGTGGTACAGACACACACACATGACGTTTCCGTCACCTGGCGATAACACATATTTTCAGTTACATTGGCATTTATATCAAGAGTATGTCCTCCCGTCCTCTGAAGAAATGTGGAAGAAACTACGTTTATTTATTAAAGATATAATTTAATCTCATGGATTTAAATCAATTAAAACATTAAATCTCTTTCTCCTGATTTGTTAATTGTTTCATAGTTTATAGCTAGCTGGCAATGAACTGTTATCAACAAGTTTCCTTCCAAGTTCAGGGATTTAATTTGTAAAAGTAGCAAACTTCTTGCTGAGAATGTTTATGACTAGGATTGAAAAAAAAATAATTCAACTTTTAATTTTAACTTGTTTATATCCGAGCAGGAACACATCTTTGTCATGACTTTTACACTTATATCAAGTGTAAATCCTTCCATCCTAGCATCATTGACTTCCATATCAATAGGAGTACACACTCCACTCATAGACCTGGAGAATGTGTTTCCTTCATTGGAGATCTTGAGATTATAGCTGAATGTTTCCTTCCTCTCCTCTCCACTATAGTGCTTTATATAGAACACCAGTTTATTATTTAAGAAATCAACGTGATATAAAAACCAGTTCTTAGAGTTTACAAGCTTGAATATACAGGGCTTATAAACTCCTGATTCAATATTAGGAGAAAAAAAATATAGGTAAAGGCTATAGTGTTGTCCAACTCAACATGTGACTTATATCGTAGATATTGCAGTCCAAGACAACTTTGAAAGTGATCAGGAAGTTTGCATGCTTGGATCTTCTTCTGACATCCTGGACACATGAGTTCTCTAAACGTACATTGTTCTTTCTCGTGTTCCTCTAACATCTTCTTCTGAAGTTTGATGGTGCAACCCTGATCCATAAATATACAGGGTACTGCCAACAGATCTGTGATGTTCAGGGTTAGAGGAGAGAACATGTCTTCTTCCATCCTGGTTCTACAGACAGGACACCTTGGTCTAAACAGTGACTCTATAAAAACAATTGTTTTTTCTTTGATAATGAATATGAAATATATCCCTTTCTCTCCACTACCCCCCCCCCTCACGACAAAAAAGCTCAGAAATTGTACTTGTATTTTTTTACCTTGATTTTTTTATGAGGGTATCCTCCGATTTTGCTCATGTATTGCTCATGTGAAGTATCATTTTTGGATTTTACTTGTTATTGGAGGTAGAGCTTTTTCACTTTTAACGCGCGCACTTTTTCTCAGATCAGTTCATAACCAAAAAATGGTTGTAATATACATAATTTAAGTTCGCAAGCAAAAAAACAGCCTCCTTAGTTAAGTTGTGTTTAAATACTGTTTAAAATTTTCAGGAGAGTAATACGTTTAATGCCCCCCCCCCTTGGAAATCTCAAAAAATAACTCCAGAAATTTTACCTTTTACATGTTTCACAGGTAGTGTGCCCATTCCTACAGATAGGTATCTTCTTAGTTCTTGGAATCATGAGACAGACAGGACAAGTAACTTCTCTTTCCAGAAAATCCAGAATATCATCTTTCTCCTTCTGATATTTGTCTTTTTTGTTCTTTAAAGTCTTACTCATTGATTTCTCATCATTCACCTGTTTCTCAAGTTCAGAAATTCTTTTTGTAAAATCGGCTTTTTCTTGAATTGCTTCCACTCTTTCGAAAGCAAGTTGTTTTCGCAGTTCAGAATTCTTGTGAGTAAGAATAGATATCTTTTTAATTAATTCCATATCATTTCCCTGTTTCCCTTCCCTACTGGAGTCAGTGTCACTCAACATCAAGTAATTCTCCTTCTCCTTTATTTTTAGTTCATCATTCTCATCATTCTTCTGCTTCTCCAATTCAGCGATCCTTTTTGTAAGGTCAGTTTTCTCCTCCCTGCTGAGATCATTCTCCTCCCTGCTGGGGTCATTCTCCTTCCTGCTGGGGTCATTCTCCTTCCTACTGGGATCATTCTCCTCCCTGCTGGGGTCATTCTCATTCCTACTGAGATCATTCTTCCTGCTGGGGTCATTCTCCTTTCTGCTGAGATCATTCTCCTTCCTGCTGAGATCATTCTCCTCCCTGCTGAGATCATTCTCCTCCCTGCTGGGGTCATTCTCCTTCCTGCTGGGGTCATTCTCCTCCCTAATGAGATCATTCCCCTCCCTACTAAGATCAGTCTCCTTCCAGCTGGGGTCATTTTCCTCCCTACTGAGATAATTCTCCTCCTTTCTGAGATAATTTTCCTCGATGTTTAAATCATTCTTCTTCATGTTCTTGAATACTTTTCTGCTCCTATAAAATGTAAATCCATTAAATATTTTTATATAACTAGATTTCAAAAATATGCTAGAATCAGGGTGGCCAAAACTTTTTTTAAAAAAATCCGTACAATTTCAGAAGAAATCCGTACAATCCGTACAATTTTCGGGAAAAAAATCCGTAAATCCGTGCATTTTTTTGAAAAAATCGGCACATTTTTTATAAAATCCGCACATTTTTTTAAATAAATCAGCACATTTTTTTAAAATCCGTACAATCAGTACAATTTTCGAAAAAAAATCCCTGCAATCCATACATAAAACCATTTTTGAAAATATTATTCAACACCCCCCATTCCCCACCACTTCTTTCTCCCCCCCATCTCNAGAGAACCAGAGAACTAGAGAACTAGAGAACCAGAGAACCAGAGAACCAGAGAACTAGAGAACTAGATAATAGAGAACTAGAGAACTAGAGAACCAGAGAATCAGAAAACCAGAGAACCAGAGAACCAGATAACAAGAGAACTAGATAATAGAGATCTAGAGAACTAGAGAACTAGAGAACCAGAGAACCAGAGAACCAGAGAACCTGAGAACCAGAGAACCAGAGAACCAGAGAACTAAAGAGCGTTGATTCTAATTTTTAAAACTGTTTAGATCGGTGTGAATTAGGCCATTTAAGAAACAAACGATTAAGTTATAATTTGAAAGAGTGGAGTGAAGATTTAGGATTTAAACAGAGAGACAGATAGGATATATAAACAGATATATAAAAAGATAGATAAACTGACATGCAGATAGATATACAGATGGATAGACAGATAGCTAGACAGATAGCTAGACATATAGCTAGACAGATAACTAGACAGATAGATAGACAGATAACTAGACAGTTAGCTAGACAAATAGCTAGACAGATAGCTAGACAGATAGATAGACAGATAGATAGACAGATAGATAAACATATTCTCAAATGAACACTTCTGGAACATATTCTCAAATGAACACTTCTGGGATCTCGAACATTATGAATGAATTTTGATTGTCAATTGAAACTTTAATCAATCGAATATTATTTAGAATGCAGAAAATAAGTTAAACTAACTTCACTTTGACGAGAATTTTTTTTTTGAAATTTTCATGAAAAATTTGTTGAAATGAGTGAAAATTTTAAAAAAACCGGTTTAATTCCAGGATAAAAATCCGTACAATCCGTACAATTTGAAAAAGAATCCGTACAAAACGTACAAACCGTACATTCCTTACAATTTTAGAGTTACAAAATAAAAAATCCGTACAATCCGTACATTTTAGCCACCCTGTAGAATTATTAAAAATATATAATACAACTTTTAGATAATAATAATGATTGAAGAACAACCCTACAACGTACGTTCAATAAATAATGGTTGGCCAAAATATTTGTCTTCATTAAACCTTAAAACTCTCAAAAACTAAATTGTGAGAAAGAGGAAATGATTTTTTAACACTGTGCATCATAGTTATATTTTTGGAAAATTCTCAGAAATAATCTCTTCATGGAGAGGTTTTGTACGTTTTCAACAGTCTTATTTGTTTAAGGAACCCTGGAGTACCCCAGCGTACAAGAAAAAAACGAATTTTGAAAAAAAAAATCAAATTTTAAGGGGGGAAGATTTATTTTTGGAAAAACCATAAGACTTTTTATAATTACGAGGACTTTATATAATGAATACTAGAATTGGCTTAACCATGCAGACGTAGTTTAACCACTTCTCTCGACACTTGTTCAAGCTGAAAAGAAGTATGTGAACCCCCTTACAGATGTTGCCTACAATCCTTTTGCATCTTGTGTGGCCTACAAAACATGCACGCGCATTTATAGTTAAACAAGAGGCAAAAACTACTAGATCTCACCTCTTCACAGAATTATTTCCGCAGTCTTCATCATCATTTTTCCTTTTATTTAATCTCGAGTCCATATTTCTGAAATAAAAATTTATATCAAACAAACTTTACATCATTTAAAACCTATTGTTATTAGACGCGTAGGGATATAAAGAGGCCTATGAAAAATAACAGTTAAAATCAACCTTCAAAAATTACTCTTTTCACGAAAAAAAATGTCAAATGTTAAATATGTTATTTAAACACTTCACTGAGTGCAATAAACTATTCACAACCAATTATCAAATAAAATCAAATCATTCTTTTAGGGTCGTCCTACACCCACACCCCAAAATTGAAGTGGCTATACTAAATCAATAATGAAGTGAGGTCTTACGATTTGTATACGGTTATCATTTGTTTTTGAAAAAAAAATCTACTTTAGGTCAAAGCTTTGAGGTTTTATTTCACAACACCAATCTTTGTTAAAACCGCTTTTCAAGAATCTTATCTTATATTGTTTAATACTAAAAATGAAATCTCTGTGATTCATATGATCAGTTTCAAACAAAGCTAGAACGAAAAATTACTTTTTAATGCTGAACGAAATGTGATAATTTTCGTCCAAATAGAAATAGCTGAACCATACAGACTTTGTACAACCACTTCTCTTGTGCAACGACTCAACATCCGTCTATGCAGTTCAACCATATCTCATAATTCATTAATTCTTGTACCAGAGATAACATTTTTTGGCAATTTTGTTCCTTTTCTTCAATCTACAGCTGGAATTGGGTAGAGTCTGAATGATGTTGCTTCATGTGCATCTTCAGACTTCGTTCATTCTTCAATAGTTTACTACAGAGAGTACAGGGAGTAGGAAGGTCCAAATGTTTGGCTTTAGCATGTCTTCTTGCATTACTACGATCTGCAAACTGACTTCCACATATTTTACATTCAAACCTAGAGAATTTAATATATAATCAAGGGGCGAGGGCTGAGAACAGATGTTGAACGTTATAAATGAAAATTTCAATCTCACAAATTTATCCAAACTATTACAATTTTTAAGGAAAATTAAGCTTTTGTTGATGATTTTAAAAAAATGTGCCAGATTATGCTATTTCTGAAATCAGGATGCTTTTCACTTTTTAATTGTGCTGCTTTTAAAAAAAAACCGTATCCATTGCCCGGTTGGGATTGGGAACCCTGCAACTTGCATATATTTAACATATCAGCAATAGACCAGCAGTCACCAACACTAACAGAGCTCAGGATTCAAGAAGCATTGAAACGGATTTAAAAACTTGAATTTTAGAAATTTCCCGCGTTTCTCCGTAAACATGTGTGTATAATGTGAACTGTGTTATGTGTACTCTCTCTCTGTGTCCTCTGTGGGCAGCGGAGAACAGGGAGGTAGTTGTAAGCACAAAATGGTGAAATATCGATTGCACTAATGATTGACCGGACTAACATTCATTCGCACTATATAGTGGCGAATGAACACTTTTGCACTATTAATGATTGATGAATGAGATTTTTGTTCATTTGCGCTATTGTTCGATCGTAATACAAACCAGTTTCTGATTCTGAGCTGACTTTAGTGCAAATGTACGAATTAGTTCAATCGGACAATTAGTGCAACGATATTGCATCCACAAAATGATAGTAGTTAGTAACGATGGTGTATTTTTGGACCTACGTCCATCAGTTAAATATTGCCCATCCGACCTACTGGCACGGGTTTTACAGCTGCTAGATGAGCTTGTGGCCGCAGCACCCGGCCCCCCAGCCAGTCCTAGCCGCAGCGCTTGGCCCTGAAATTATCTTAGCCTAACCTAACCCTAAAATAAAACAAAAATAAACAGCTGTCGTAGGTCGGATCAGCGGCGTACCTAGGGGGGGGGGGCAGTAGTCTTCTTGCTCCCCCCCCCTGGAAAATACAAAATGAAAAGGAAACTTTATTTAAAAGTAACACTTGGTAATGTCCAAAGACTAAGGATTTGTCTAAATTCACTGTTAATACGAGGAGAAAAAAGTTTTAGCCTTCTAAAGAGAATACTTCATTACACTATTACTTATACTATTACTATATTACTATTACTTTTACTATTACTATTATTACTATTACTATTACTATGACGGAGAGCAGACTTAACGATCTTGCACTTATGGCCTTACACCCTACAAGGCTGTCTGAGATCTCTACTGAGAAAATCAATGAAATGTTTTTGCAAGCAAATTCCAGAAAATTGAAGCTTAAAAGAGTTGGTGAATATGTAGATTGAGTAAATTCTATCTAAAAATTATTAGTGTAAATATAATTTTTAATGATGCTGTGATTATTGATTTAGTTAGCTGTGATGGAGTTAAGTGATAAATTTATAAAGTTAAAAAGTTAAAGTTAGTTTTTCGAGCAAAGGAATAATTTTTAAACTCTACTGGTTAGTAACACCCAAAAATGTAGTCTTTTTGGTGTATTTCTTTGGTTTTAATTGACTTTTTGAACAAAACAATTCCGGGGGGGGGAAATTCTTGCCCCCCCCATGGCTAAAATCCTGTGTACGCGCCTGGGTCGGATGTGCAGTATAGCTGACGGACAAATAGGACGGATGGACCGTATAGCCGATCAACATTAATGTTAGGATCATGGATGAAAATAAGACGACATATCGTTCATAAACTTATCATTTGTTTTTAGTAAGTCCAAATGCTTAATTTATGTTAATGTTGAAGGTGGAGCGGGCAGAGGCGTACAGTCTGGGGGGGGGGGCTAAGCCCTCCCACCTGGATCAGTAAAATCTATGGATTTCAGGGGGTTTCCAGGCCCCAACGGGTGCTTAGCCCCCCTGGAAAGAAACAAAAATTTAAGCCCCCTGGACAAATTCCTGATTACGCCCCTGGAAGTGGGTATTTCAACTATTTGAATTTTCGCCTTTCCATATGAAATTGACAGGGGTCAATATAATTCCCAAAAAAGCTGATTTTCTCGATCCCAAAATAATTTTTTGCCCCCAATTTTGAAAAAAAATGCCCCCAGTTAAAATTTTTTTTTCAAATTCCACTAACACATTTGCCCC